AAAAGCCATGGAATTCATAATACTCTGCTCAATCTGTAAAAAATGAATGGCACACTGCCAGCACTGTAAACTGTTCCGCACCTCCTCTCTGCCAGCCCATTTAGGTTTAACATGTGACTAGACAACTTTTTCACCTTGCCACCGCTCTACCAGCCCAGCACAGCCCATCACAGCACAGCCACCTTGCCTTGTTACACTAGTACTAGTGCGGCGATAGTTATTACCGTCCTTAAGGTGCTCGGTGTTAATCTCGGAGTACTAGTAGTAGTAGATATGGTGTCGTTAAGGGATAGTCGTGCTGTGCGTCGTGCTAGTTCGTTAATGGGCGAGATGAGTCGGTCGGGTCTTCCTTAACTGCTCATAGAGGTCGTTCTTCACAACAAGGATGATAGCTAAAGTATTAAGGTTCCTACCGGGGCCTAACTAGGTTAGGGTTCCTAGTAATAATCCTAATAGTATGAACTGGTTGGGAAGAACGTAAGGTATGAGAAGTCACTTGTCACTAAGAACTATAAGTCTAATAGTTAACATAAGTTAGCTACGAAGGGAGTGTAAACTATCTAGGGGTAATGAGGGTGTATATATAATGCTCATGCTCTGTGCGCTCTGTGCGCTCTGTGCGCTCTGTCCCAACGGGGCCAGCAGAGCCAGCAGGGCCAGCAGGGCATATCACGTGATTCAGCCTTGTTCCCTTGTGGATCCTTCTATCTGTCCAATGAGTGTCTTGAGCCGCGCCTTCGCAGCCCGTGACCGGTCTCTTCCAAGGCTGTGTCTAATATTCTGTCTAACCATGGCTAATAATGGCGGCTAGTTGGCGGACGGCAGAATAGGTGGGGGCATATCCTATTGCCTCTAGGTCAAGTATCCATCTCTTTAATAGCATTTCCTGTGTATTCGACAGTAACTGTTGCGATTCGTGGAATAGAGGCCTTGACTGAGTGCCCTTGAGTCTGCGCATCAACGTAGTGTGATCGGCATCCTTTGCGGCGGCGGTAGCGTGAATAGAGGGATATCGACGTGAGTGATAGTCGTCGATAGTATGCTGCATTCTAGCCTCTCGATTGGCGTCCATTTGAGCGTTCTGGCGAGGTGGTGGTGGGGTGGTGTGGTGGTTGCAAGATGGAATGGTATACGCGGTGGTGAGGGTTGACATGTGGTGCGTTACCAGGTTGGTACGTTACCTGATGGGCGGACTTACGTTGCTGGGGTCTACTCCGTATGGAGGCAGCTAAAAGACCGACCGACAAAGGGGGTGAGGACTCGAGAGCGGGGGGCCTGAAACCGCACTAATATGGCTGTGAAACAAACGGCGCTCCCCACATACTCGACTCAGTCAAAGACAGAGGAGCTGGGCCGAGCTGAGCTGAGTTGAGGTGAACTGAGCTCTACGAGTACCAAGTACGAGGTACGGAGTATCTATCTGTCTACGAGAAGGGCTCCGTAGGCGCCATAGCACCAAACGCGGAAAACAACACAACACAACACAGATCAACCTGGTCGCGTCAAGGGTGGACTACGCTCTCGGTACGTGCACATAAAGACAACACACATCGTCATTATTATTGCTCGACAGGACCAAAACCAGTGGGCGCACAGCGCAAAGTAAGCCTCGTCAAAGTGGGATCGAAGAGTACAGCATCAGAATGAGTAAAGTCCAGCTCCACGACCACACCGCTTCGTACCATGCCATCACCACCAAGTCGCCCCAGGGCCTGCAGTGTCTCAAGAGGCTGTTCCTCGAATACGACAACGCGAACCCAAGTCGCGCCAACCTCAACCGCCTGTTCTCCAGAGACTTTACCGACAATGAGAACGAGTCGGAGCGGAACATTGGCAGGGACGAGGCGATCCAAACGATCATCTCCACGCGCGCAAAGTGCTCGCGGCATCAGATCGACTTGAAACGCGCAACGTGTCTGGTCAATTCGGGATCCAGCCATACCGTCTTCTTTGAGGGCGTGAGGTTCATGATGTTCGCCGCTCCTCAGGAAAGTGGTAGCGATGCAGAGCCGTCCGTGGTGGAAGACAAAAGTGATTGGACCAGGGTCCCCTTTGCCGGCAGGATCGAAGTGAGAGTCAAGGAGAATAAGTTCTCGCTCAAGGAAGCCGTGGCCGAGATTGTGAGCAGGAGAGTTACGTCGGACAATAGTATCTTAATAAAGAGGGACTTGATGTCGAGGACGAACTCCATGCCGCTCGTCAGTCCGGGCGAGTCCCCCCTCGCCAGGTTGCATTCTACGAGTACCAGCCAAATTGGTCTTCCGACGAACATGTCCGAGTTGCCCGCAGCGATTTCTGCGCCGACGGGTGATACCAAGTCTCTTCCCCCATACCACTCTTCAGCGACCGGGACACCAACTGTCACTTCAGGGAGCTCAGTTGATGGGGACCAGTCAGGGAAGCGTTGAGAGAGGTGCATTTGGGGCCACAGAGAGCTCGGTATCTCTTTCGGACCATCAGGTAGCAAGGCGTCAAAGGATCCTAAACAGCAGGAAGCCGTCCAACTGGCATCGAACCTGCTTCAAGCCCTTTTCACGTCTATTCATGGTGATGATACAGTCTTTGGTAGAGGGGCTACACATCCTAGCCCACCTCGCATAAATCGTTCGAAGCGGCTCTCTATCCTACCAAAGAACCCTCTGTAGTCCCGCCCAGGCATTTCTGGATTGCGCCAACCGTCTCGGGTCCAGATGCTCCAGCTACCCATCTCGCGAGCGAGGAGAACATCAGTGGCCAATCTGTCCCCCACAATCACGATTTCCTTGGGGTCATCTGTAACGCCATGGTCTCTAAAATATTGTAGAATATCGGGTCCACAGAATGGTTTTTTGCGATCAGGATGCTGTCTCAAGACGGGGAGGCCAAGTTCCTTCTCCAGCTGCTTGGCCTCAGTTTCATGTTCTGGAGCAGAAGAGCTGCCTGCGGTATTGGAGACAATGAGGACGCTGTGCGGACTGTGGCTGAACTCCTCGCTCTCCCTGATCTTTTCGATCTTGTTTAGATATGCATGGTGTAATTTAACAGTGTCTGGTGGACACAGTGTGTTGTCTTTGTCTATGACAAGGGCACGAATGGTCGGTCTCTTGCCGGCCGCATTGAGGGAAGGAAGCCAAGGGCCAATTGGTAGCGGGAGTGGGAGAAGAGTTGGAATGGTTCTGTGCGGGAGAAGGCACGACGGCTCATTCAGGGCGTAGGCTAGTGTTAGGCGGAGAGCTGGCACATTGGAAAAGAGTGGCATGTCCAAAAACACCGACGGGTCTTCCTTCTTGGAGCAGGCTGGAGTTGAATGCGAAGGATGGACAGAAGCAGAAGCAGAAGCAGAAGCAGAAGCAGAGGCACGTGAATGTCAACCCGACGGAGATAAGCCGGATTTAGTCATGCACTTTTTTCTGTGGGTGGTTCAGTTCAGTGTTGGCTGCGGTCAACGAGTCTCAACATCAACTCCCACAACCACTTGCCGTCTCCTCAATTTGTTGCTGCTCTTGTCGCCTGTGTCTTGCCTTCAGCCCTTGACTACCTCACCCCTCTTCCTCCAGATCCTGCGACTCGCGAACGCCCAATATGGGCAAACTTACTTCCACCATCGGCATTCCCATCAAGCTGCTCAACGAGGCGCAGGTGAGTATTGAACGAACCCCATCCGATCTGTCTGGCTTGTGCTGACGCAAGTCTTCTATACAGGGCCATGTGGTTACTTTAGAACTCACGTCCGGTCAAGTGTACCGAGGAAAACTGCTCGAAGGTGCGCACTCTTATATTTTCCCTTGAGAGCGTGCATCCATCCCTCGTTCAAGCCACCGCTGTCGTTTGCGCTTGACCACGGTGACTAACGTCTGTTGAATAAACAGCTGAAGACAACATGAACGTCCAACTAAAGGACATCACCGCCACAGCGCGCGACGGCCGGGTGTCACATCTTGATCAAGTCTATATTCGAGGCAGCCACGTGCGCTTCTTCATCGTTCCCGATATGCTTCGAAATGCGCCCATGTTCAGATCGAGGGGTACGAGAGGCCGCGGTGTTGGTCTGGCAAGAGGAAGAGCTACAGTCAACCGGGCGCGCGCTGGAAGGAGGAATTAAGCGGGCACAGCTGTCAGCCGGACAACATGGGGATAGAAACTGGACAGAGATTCTTCATCAATCGGACAACCTTTTCGCTTGAATGTGCGAAAACATGGTTTCGCACGGGAGGCACAGCCCTTTGAGTGGCCTCGAGGAAGTGAAAGAGAGACACTGTGGGAATAGGACCTTGGAAGATGTGGCCGGCCTTCAGAGGCCCTTCAGAGAACCTGTGAATGAGAGCCCAGCTGGGTTCAGGTCCAAGACCGGCTACAACGAACGGAAAGCTCTGCGACACGAATGAACGAGGGCACGGGAGGCGTTGCAGCCTCGCTTACGAATGTATTTGAAAGCCTCGCCTGCCAAGGCTGAATATATCAAGAATGAGACCCGTTCCAACTCTGCATCCCTTGAAGTAGTCAAGAGTAGTTCAGTTCACCTAATTATCCTAGCCGCTGATCCCTAAGATTCTATCTCGGACATCTGTGAGGTCAACCAACTGCAGTTTGGTACCAGGGGGATCCCGTGCTAAGGAGAAAAGGACACAAAAGCCTAGGCCAAGGGAGGAAGGATGCCGTCCAACCCATCATCACCCACAAAGCCCTCCTCCTTCCGCCTCCTGATCCTCTCCCCTTCGCCGCGCGATCCAGCATCGATCCCGCCGCTCCGTTCGTTTCTGGAAGCAATCACCGGCTCCAAGCCGTCGGACGACATCGCTTCGTTTGCGGGGTATACGTCTCATTCCCCGCTGAGGCTAAGGACGAAATACTACAGCGCCGACGTGGGTATTTGGTGCGATGAACTCCCTCCCACGACAGAAGCGACGAAGAGCTCCTTGGGGAAAGAATCGGATCATGCCGGTTGTTCAGGAGGGCCCCAGAGGAGCAGTGAAGACGCGGTGACGGATTCAGAGCCCGTGACGCTGGCGCACTGGAAGGAGCAGATGCTCTCGTCCGAGGCCAAAGAGGTTCGCGCCGTCATCGGCGGGATCGTACTCGTCCTCCCCATCGTCGCGTCCTTGCTTCCATCCCCCAACGCGCCAATTCTGGAACAGTATGTCACGCTGGTCGAGACGGTGCATGCACTCCGCGAGGCGGTCGAGGACGAAAGCTACGGGCGGGATATTGCTTCTCTCGTGGTACTACAGTCTACAACGCCGGCCGTAGGCAAAGCCAAGTTGAGCGAGGCAATGTCGGATCTGGAGGAGGTCTGTTTGTCCGAAAGGGGCATTCTGGGGTGGGATTTTGTCGCTTGGGAGAGTGGTCAGCTCCTGGCCGCAAGTGAAGGGAAACATGGCCAGACGGTCGACCAGGAAGGGGAGGATGTGGGCGGGGATGGAGAGGATGAAAGGAACGAGTTCGGTGAGAAGACGGGAATTAAGAGGGTCATTGAAGCCCTCGAGGGGGTGGATTGGTCTGCATCGCCGCACGCGGATGATGAAAGAGAGGGAGATGATGGGCATGGGGATTTTGATTTTGCAGATTTTGACCAGGGCGAAGACGAGGACGTTGGGGAATTGTTTTCTTCTTCATCAAAAAACATATTTGGAAAAAGAGCGGTTATCCCAGGGTTTGATTACGAGTTCCAGCGCGAGATGATGGAGTTGAAGATGTCGATGCTTGAAGATGTTGACGACAGTGATGATAACGAGAACCACGAAAAGGTCGAGACGGAGCGTGAAGATGAAGACACCCAGGTCGAACAGCTGCAGGTGTTAATGGAGAGAGTCGTTGCGATCCGCGAGGCAGGATCAGAGATGCCCAGGACCGAGAGGGACAAGTTTGCCAGGAGGGAGATCAGGAGGATCATGAGGGAGATGGGATAGAGATTTCCGAAACGTCTCCCTGAGCAGCATGGCTCGAGCGGGAATTCATGATGACAAGATCTCTGTCGTGCTTTCTCTCTCGAATGCTCGGGCCTCTTGAGTGACAAGTGCCCTTTTCGATGGTGTCCGACATATGTGGTCCGATCAGAGCCTTTGACTCGGAAAAGAGGGCTGAGTTTCTCATCCTTGCCAGACGACACCCAAGGATCGGATTAGGTCGTCCGCCTCAACATTTCCCGCCCTTCAAGATCCCACTCGGCTCTCCAGAAAATAAGCTTGGCTGTTTCCAATCAGGCTGATCCTGCGCGTCATCCCAAGAGCGGGCTTTTGTTGTGGTTTCCTTCAAAAGCTCCTTCCCGCAATGCCCGCTTGCCTGAGGCTCAATTTTGACGGACTCAGTCGTGATGACTGGGGAAAATGGCTCTCCGAGGATGGGAAGTTTCATGGCGTTCTCTTCATCCGTCCGGATCGTCAAAGGACAACTTGATCTTCTTGCCTTTCTTCTTTGGCGCAACGGGTCCGATTTTCGCCACTGGGTGTTTGTCGTCTTTCTCCTTGGGACCATTTCCCTGTTTTGGAGCTTTGTTCACCCTGCTATCACGATCGTCTTCGTCTTCCCCTCCAACAACCTTGCCGACCTTTCTCTTCTTTGCATTCGCCGAGGCGCCAATCTGTGTTACCATTTGCCTTTCACTGTGCTCGGGATTTTGCTTTGCTTCTTCTGCTTGAGCCCCAGCCTCGGTGCCAGCTTCCTTTTCGGCGGATTGCTCAGTGTCGTTTCCCCCTTTCATCCTCCGCTCGAATTCCGCCTTCTCGATTCGCTCACCTCGCTCATCCACGATCACGGGTTCATCCTCTTCGTCGTCACCTGTCTTCAACCTATCCTTCTTCGGCCGAGCGATCTGTACGTTGTTTCTTCCATCAAGGCCTCCCACTTCTCCTCTTAGCCTGCGGAGGAAGGAGGGTTCCTGCTTATTGTATTCTAGATTTTTGGCATTGAATGCCATTTTTTCACATCCTCAGCCAAATATTCGCTGTCGATAAGCTAAGGCAGCGGGACATGCACAATAACTTACATCTTGAGGTAGCAAAGGGAGACAAAAGGACCAGCGGGCGGGAAGTTGAAGAGGAGGACATCACGTGGTGATAAGCTCCTTATCTTTCGCCTTTTCAATATTGCATCGCGTGTTCACTGTTCGCCTCCTGATGGCGCGATGTCAGGACTCTTACCTTGGAGTTCCCACGCAATCAACACCGACAATGTCCACCGATTAGGCAATATCGCCTACATAGATGCTGTGGCCTCCTACGCCCGCGCAGTGCGCGCGAGGCTACATCAGAACTGCGCAGAAATTCAGATTACGCCCACAATTCGCATTGAGAACGGCCGCCATCCTACAACGACACTATGCCTCGGACATTGACCATTCCGATAATGCTTCTCCTACCAATCGAAAGTCGCTCGCGCGGGTCGCGAGTGCCAGATATAATGATATCGGTGTACAACAGCTGAGCGACTATCTCCATCCTCAAGTCTTCCCTTCTGGGGCCACGCGACCACGTCCAGAGCTGGTAGAGTTGGCGAAAGACCATCTGCGCCGGCATGATCTGCTAGGGAAAAATCAGGATAATACACCCGCTATCGGGTTAGATGTGCCTCCAATCATGGGGAAGGATTTAGACGAGTATTTCACCAAGCTGGGTCTCGATGCATCCGACCCATACCTGTCATACGGCAAGGCATTTGTGCGAGCAGATACCCCCCAGAGACCGCGGAAATGGGTGATTCGAAGTGGGTGGACAAAGTATAATCCTGACATGACGAAGGAAGAGGTGGATGCGCCGGACGAGACAATGCTGTCGTTCGACGTCGAAACCATGTGGAGAGAATCGCCGTTCGCTGTCATGGCCACTGCAGCGAGTCCTACAGCTTGGTACGCCTGGATATCACCCTGGTTGCTGGGGGAGACAACAAATCCCAGGCAGTTGGTACCCTTAGGTGATCCAACTAAACCGCGGATTGTCGTTGGCCATAACATTGGGTATGACCGTGCAAGAGTCAAGGAAGAGTACGACCTACAACAGTCACGGAATTTCTTCATCGATACCATGTCGCTGCACGTTGCTGTCAACGGTATGTGTTCTAGACAGCGGCCCACCTGGATGAAGCATAAGAAGAATCGGGATTTGCGGGACAAGATGTCAGGCGACCACAACTCCATCGAGCTTCAGACAATGCTAGAGACCAAGATGTTGAGCGAGGAAGAGGAGGAACTATGGGTGGGTAGAAGCTCCATCAACTCGTTGCGCGATGTCGCCAAGTTCCACACGGGCATCACAATTGACAAGAGTCAAAGAGACTATTTTGGTGAACTGGACCGAGAAGGTATTGTTCAGCGAATCGAAGAACTCCTCGACTATTGTGCCGCCGATGTAGCCATCACACACAAAGTCTTTCAGAAAGTTTTTCCCAATTTTCTCGAAACCTGTCCACATCCTGTCAGCTTCGCTGCACTGCGGCATTTGTCGTCCGTCATTCTGCCTGTTGATAAATCTTGGGATGAGTATATCGAGCGAGCGGAAAACACCTATCTACAGAGACTCAAAGATGTCGAGCAGCGCCTTTTACAGTTATCAGATGCGGCGTTGGAAGTCAAGGATAGGCCAGAGGTCTATAATAACGATCCATGGCTGAATCAGCTGGACTGGTCAGGGCAAGAGATTAAATACAAGAAGGCCAAAAAGAAGGGGGAAGCACCCACTCCCGTCGCTCGGCAAAAGAAACCTGGCGCCCCCAAGTGGTACCGAGATTTGTTTACCTCAAATACATCCCCGATCAACTTGACCGTGCGGACAAGAATCGCTCCGCTGCTGTTGAAGCTGTCTTGGGATGGCAACCCTCTGGTGTGGTCTGACCAGCATGGTTGGACCTTCCGCGTCCCGAACAAGGACATTGGGAGATACGAGCATAGCAACGTTGTCAGCTGTGACATGTCAGAAGAGACCAATCCTAGGCTGAAGTCGGATTTTCAGCATACATACTTCAAACTTCCTCACAAGGACGGCCCGAGTGCACGCTGTGCCTCACCGTTAGCCAAAGGTTACTTGCAGTACTTCGAATTGGGTACACTGTCCTCGAAATTCACTCTAGCGAAGGAGGCCTTGGAGATGAATGCGTCATGCTCATACTGGATCTCGGCCCGAGATAGGATCACCTCTCAGCTGGTCGTCAGAGAAGCCGATCGAGATCCTAGTCTGGCCGGCAAGTCCGATCAAGGATTTATCCTTCCTCAAATCATCCCCATGGGTACCATCACTCGACGTGCCGTAGAGAATACATGGCTCACAGCTTCAAACGCCAAATCAAACCGAGTGGGGTCTGAGCTAAAGGCAATGATCAAGGCGCCGCCGGGATACTGTTTTGTCGGTGCCGATGTCGATAGCCAGGAACTCTGGATTGCTTCAATCGTGGGCGATGCCCAGTTTCAGCTGCATGGCGGTAATGCTATTGGTTTCATGACCCTGGAAGGCACCAAGGCCGCTGGAACGGATCTGCATTCTAAGACTGCGAAAATTCTGGGCATATCTCGCAACGATGCCAAAGTGTTCAACTACGGTCGGATTTATGGTGCCGGCCTCAAATTCGCGGCAACGCTTCTTCGGCAATTCAACCCCTCTCTATCAGAACAGCAAACAAACGACATTGCGACAAAGCTCTACAAGGAGACAAAAGGTACTCGTACAAGACGTAAGATTTTCGGCAACAACAGCTTCTGGCGAGGAGGCACTGAATCCTTCGTCTTCAACAAACTCGAAGAATTTGCCGAGCAGGAGCGTCCTCGCACCCCAGTGCTGGGAGCCGGAATCACCGAAGCCCTCATGCGGAGATTCATCAATCAAGGCTCGTTTATGACTTCTCGCATCAACTGGGCCATTCAATCCTCGGGCGTTGACTATCTCCATCTTCTAATAGTCAGCATGGATTTCCTAATCCGGCGGTTCAATCTGGACGCTCGCCTCGCCATCACCGTGCACGATGAAATTAGATATCTCGTCAAACACGAGGACAGATATAGAGCCGCCATGGCTCTGCAAATCAGCAATCTGTGGACCAGGGCCATGTTCTCCCAACAAATCGGCATCGACGATCTCCCGCAATGTTGCGCCTTTTTCTCTGCGGTGGACATTGACCACGTTCTCCGCAAGGAAGTCGATATGGATTGCATCACGCCCAGCCATCCGGAAAAGATCCCCCCTGGCGAGAGTCTAGATATTAGTCAGTTGCTCAATAAAGGGGAAGAGGCGTTCTTGAATCCAGCCATCGTGCCGAAAGACGGGCCGATTGATTTGGACAAATACCCGTACACGCCGAGACAGAGTGTCATGGCAGGTCTGAACAGTTCGGGTGATATTGCTTATATTAAAGCGCAGATCACGAGCGACGATCAAGAGCTGAAAGCTATCATTCGGGAAGCTGAGAACGAGGCTTCCTCGTCATCCTCGTCATCCTCGTCTCCATCCGGGGTCGGGGCTTCTGCTGCAGCCGGCAGCACGACGAAAGGCTCGACTGGCTCTGACCCTGGCTCTGGCGCTACTACGGGTTCGTCGCCGAGAAGAGGGAGACGTCCGAAACCCAAAGTCCCCATTCCTCGCCACGCGCAGCCGCAGCGCGCAATGCTCATGGAGGTCGAAGATCGCTGGAACATCGGGTATAAAAAGGCCTTTGCTCACGCTAGTGGTCACACCGGTACCGGTACCGGCGGCCATAAGCCCTGGTTGACGGAGAAGAAGGCACCCGAGTGGTCGAGCCAGTGGGCGAGTGATGGATGGGAGGTCTGAGTCAAGTCAAGTCTTTCTTACATCTAAGCTAAGAGACTTCGCCCTTTACTTGTATGTACGAATCGTTCATGTGCAGCCATTTGGTATGGACATGTCCTCTCTGTGTATCATCTTCATTGGGAGGAAAAAAAAGCTAGCTAGTCCAGTCCTGAAGGCAGATGTATATTATAGTATGTACCAAGACGGTCCCGTTTATGCAAAATCTGCAAATGAGCGATGCCAGTTAACGAGCGCAAGCTTTACAGAATTTCAGCGTCCCCACGTCCTTGCGACAACCACAAAAATGCAAGGTTTTCCAACCTTCTCACCGTACTTGGATGTTGGATGCCCAAGACACGCAGAGAGCTCGTGCAACATGCTTCTTGGAGCGGTTCCGCGGCCTCGTACTGTTGTTGATCACTCAGCACAATGGCTTGGTTGTTCATACCCGTCAGTGTCGCCTCGTCCTCTGCTCCTGACACTGTCTGTTGTATCCCCATCACTTCTCGAATCCTCGTCTCCGCTGCCTCGTACTTGCCTTGCCTATATAGTAGTGCAGCTAAGTTATTCATAAGTTTCAGTGTGTTCGGGTGCTCCGCTCTCAACATTGTCCGATGTATCCGTATAGCTTCTCGATATATCGTCTCCGCTTCCAAGTACTTGCCTTGATAGCTAAGCGACATGGCCAGGTGGCTCATGCTCCTGAGTGTGTCCGGGTGCTGGGCTCCTAAGTCCGTCATCAGGGTCCGGCATATTGTTTCTTCTAATCGAAAGCTCGAATCGTATTTGCCCCGGCTGCTATAAAATTGAGCAGACCACGATGCCTGAAGATGGCTGCTGATCTCCTCCCCAAGCCCATGAGATATCAGACAATCCATCTTCTCAGGAGACCAACATCCCCACAATAGGCGTCATATACGTCAAAAGCTCTTTCGCACAGCCAGCAGCCACCGCTGCCGCGTAGGCGTGCCAATCGTCGTTCTTGTGGGAGTCGGCATAGTCCGCAATGCCTCGAATCACCACACATTGAAATCCGTGCATCAGCCCAGCCGCTTCCAAACCACACGTTTCACACGTGAGGTGGCCTTGGCTGGCCCAATACGTGCGTTTTGCTGGGTGGGAAGGCGATGTCCTTCTCAACACCGACTCGTCCAGTCGTGGATATCGACGTACCATCTCTGACAGATATTCGGCGACCCTATTGTCCCTCGTACGATGATCTGCCTTCATCTCCACGATAGCCTTTCATCACTCCTTCGGTGGCGGATCTAAGGAGCCTTTTCGCTCGAATCCCATCGCCGTCTCCTTCCCCAGATCATACTGCACCACGCCACCACGGATCCCTTCCGGCAACTCACCACCTGATGCCCACCGTGTACGCATTGTGCTTCAGCTGCTTCTGGTTCGCAGCTGCCATGGCGGAGAGGATTGCATCTATGGTGTATAAACGTAGGTATACAAGGCTGCGAAGATGGACTAATCGATCTGTCAGTGGTAGTTGGGGATAAAGATGGTCTGCATTCAAGGAGATAGACTAATGCATTCGTCTCCAGCCTGATTGTCATCGCCCTGCGCCTACGCTTGTCGGTCAGAAGACTTAACAATTGCAGCCCGGCTGCGGTCAGGCGAACGCTGGGCAGCGGCCAAAGTGCCCTTTTCGGATCCTATCTACTCGGTACTCGCTGCTTTATGGCCTTCAAAATCAGGCAAATGGGCGCGGCTCACCTTCGGCTCAGCCTCGTCTACAGGCCCGAGCAAACCGAGGGAGCTCGGGGGCTATCGAGCTATTGCTGCAACAGGCTCTTTGGCTAATTGAAGAGAAGACGCACGTTGAACAAATCGTATCTAACCCGCCGGATATACTTAATACTTTGTGTATTGAACTCACCCCAACTGCGAATATCGCTCGATGTACGAGGTAGGAGGAATATTCGATTACATAGCCACGCCTCAAACTGACTCGGGTCATGGCTCAAGTCAAATGCCCGGATGCTCAGGTCTGGAAACGGAAAGGGACCTTGTCGGGGCCATTTTGGGGCCAAGGTATATGTTTGCCATTGTTATGTTCATCAAATCCATCGACAAAGAACACGCCTACACCATTCTGGATGCGATTCTGGAAACATGTCCCTTTCATTCCAGCTTTTCATTCCGTCTCATGCGTCCTCTGTCCTCTTGGGCTTCCTCTTCCTCTTCCAGCTACTAACGAGCTGCTCTTCCTGTTTCTCCCCCTCATTATTATGGTTCATGAATCAAGCATATGCAGCCCACCCGCAGTACAACACTGCCAAGTTCCTCTCGTCTGTGGCCTGTCTGATCAATTCGTTCACGGTGGCTTCTACACTCAGAGCCTTGCCCAGTTTCTTCGCCACCACAGTCAACGCACGATCCGCTTCCGAGGGCTCGGTTTCTTCTCTGCGCGCGGCAATCACGCCAGCAGCGGCGTCGACTGCACCAGCAAAGGTAGCACCGCCGCCACCCGTTGTCGACGGAGTTGATGGTCCACCAGCAATACTAGCCGCGTCCGCCGCGGCTTGCTCGTTGTTCTCTTGCATCTTCTGCAGACGCAGAGGGGAGATGGACCACGAGTACAAAGGATCGTAGCGCAGGACGTCCAGAATGGTCATGATTGCTTCTTGGTCGTGGCGGAGAGCCTCAAGGGTGAAATTGCAGCACCGTCGGAAGACGCCTTCCACACCAGTGAGACCCATCCCGTCTACTAGGTCACGAGTGAGTCGGAAAGGCACCACCTCGGGCACAGGGAGAACGCGGCCCGCTTCGAAGGCGACGCCCAAGTCGATGTGGACCACTTCTCCAGTTTTCTCGTCGAGAAGGATATTGTGTCCATGTCGATCTCCCAGTCCAAGGACATGGCCCAAGATGCTCACGGCAGCAGTGGACCGGCTGTAGTTCAGACGCTTATAAAACCAGTCATCAGGGTCGAGGAATTTCTCCATGAAGAAAAATCGCATGACTGGGTGGAAATTGGCGGTAACCGTCTGGTAGGCTCGCACGCGCTGCTCGTGATTCTTGGTTTGCGCCTCAGCGATATCCTTTCTGGCACGACTGGCTTTGTAGTCCTTGGGGTAATATCGCGTGTGAGCAGGGAGCAGGTACTCATTGAGAGGGATTGTGTTCTGGACAAATTCGATGACGCCCGAGTTCTTGGTCAGTGGGATGACCTTGTATGTTCGAATGCCGAGGTCGCGTTGTCGTGTGGCACGGTGGTCTTTCAAGAGGTTGGAGACTTGTTCAAAGACTTGCTCCATGATAGCGTCCTGTCGAAGATCGTCGTTTCCTCCCTTCAGGAGCAATTTGTGTCGCGACCCATCAGAGGCAGTGATTGTTGCAATTTTGGGAGCCGATACGCCGGTGGCGACAGAAATCTCTGGGTCAATCATAGTCGAAGTAGGTACGTTTGAATAATCTCGATCTGCTCGCAAGGCAATGTTCATGGTGGGTGGAGGGATCTTCGTGTTGGGCTTCGTTATTTGAGCTTCTAATGCTGGACCATTTTGCAACTTCCGCAGTGGGAGTTTAGAGCCACTCTTGAGGTCTTTGTCGGAGAGTCCTTCTACCGCCACCCGATTTAGAGCAACGCAAGTATTGTGAACAGTGGTCCATATGGCCGAGGATGGGCTTCGTTCTTTCACGAGTTGGGTTAGTGTGTTTGCTGCCGCGAATCTGGAAGCAGCCACTTCATCCCCAGGCGGAGCTTTGGACTTGCTGGTTGCAAATATCTGGTAAAGACTGTGGTAGGGGTGATCAGAGCAGATACGGAACATGAGATCCTTGAGCAGAACCTGGAAGTCATCCTTGATATCCAACAAACGAGACGACAGCTGATTGACAAGTGGGGCAAATTTGAGAGTAGGAACTGAACTGAGGTGCTTGTGGACAGCGGCGTTTGCCGTTGGACTCTCGGCTTGATTGAGCCACAAAGCAATGAAGCGAAGGGTGTCATTAGGGTAGTCGTCGGACGCCCTCATCGACAACAGATAATTTTCCAGGCACCGAAGGATGAGATTCTCTCGATTTTGCGAAACCCTTCTCCATTCTTCCTCATCGAGTTTGTACCAGGTTTTAGCCCTAGCTAAATGTATTTTCAATTTAGCACGCTGTTGCTCACTTTGGGCATTTTTCACCATCCTGTCTAGCTCGCGGACTTCGCGCTTTTTCCGATCTCTGATTTTGTTGATTCGCGTAAAGTCATCCAGGTTGTCCGTATCCTGCAGTTGCATGTCGCAAAACGCAGCAAAGTTATGAAACACTCGGCCAGCTGCAGAGCCTGTACAAGGCTTCTGTATCTCTCGGATTGCTGGCGCCAGATACCGTTCTATTATCTCGTCCGGTTTCTCGAGACGAGCTTCGGCAATCTTGTGTCCCAGGTCCGTCAGGATGTCGGCTCGCGCGACGTTGATGGCCTGTTGGGCGGCATCTTTGCGTTCTCTTAGGTTCTGTAAGATTCCGATAGAGGCCGAGACTTCTTCTTGTGCCCATAGGGTTTTGGCAAGGTCATAATTGATGGCGACGTCTACCTTCAGTCCTACACTTTCAGCCAACTGAGTAAGCTGTGAGAGATACATTGCGCGATTCAGGCGGAATTGTGGCGCCTCGTAACTGGACGCCATGTTCAACGACTGCCGAGTCACCTGAACCTCAAACAGCAGTGCCTGTGGTAGGCTCAAAGAAAATGTGGCCCGCAAGTGATTGTTCCGACGGATGGCGGCGAAAGTTGCCTCCCTGCCGGCCAAGATGGGTGATAATTTATTGAACCTGCCGGCGTCAGTCATCATGTATGCTGGGTATAGCTGCACTTACTCTGCAAGCTTGGCCCTTTGGTTCCTGACTACTATTGCCGCACAGGCCGACTCCAGGCTCTCGGCTGAGGTCGCACCCAAAATTTGCCGTGCCTCTGCCAGTACTGCCAGTCTCGCATAAAGATCACCCAATTGATTTTGCTTTATCATGTCCATCCTGAAAGCATCTCCGTGCTGCTGCAGCAGCAGGTCAAGCTCCCGAGTAAGACTGATCTTGTTTGAGATGCCGTGCATATTACGAAACAAGGACGACACGGCAGTCGACACCGATGGAGAGTCACTCGTCCGCAAGAGATCCCACTGATCCATGTTGAAGCCATTCTCGGCTGAGTTGGGCTTATGAGACCCTTCATAGTGTTGCTTTACTGCCTCTGATATACCCTGCATATTTGCGGCGCTCAAGGTTAGTGCGGTTGTAAAGGCAACATCACCTAGGGTCGTTTCAGACTCCTCCAACCTCAACTGAGAATCAAGCATTGCGCTCTGGAAAGATAAAGATTTCTGACTCGCTCCTTCATGGCTCATTTTGTTGATGACTGACTTTATATCGTGACTCTGGACGTTGCCATAGAAGAAATCAGGATCATCGACGTTTTCATAGATCCTGGAGATGACTCCCGTTGAAACGTCGTTAGGTGTCACGAATGACCTCCGAGAAGAACGACCTGTCTGGAGTTGGGCTTGAGAGTAATGCAGCTCCAAAAAGAGCAGAGCTTCATGCCACATCTGACAATTGCTAGCAGCAATGGCAGCGCTGCTGAAATCTACTTCTAGCCAGGAGTTTCGCTGCGCCATGTTGGTCTCGCTGGGGAGATGACATTTTCGGAGATACAAGAGGGTGTTCAGCACTAATTTTCTGGCCTCGCTGGGTGACTCCGCCCCTGATGCAAGGGCATCAGAGAACGTCTGGGACAATCTCTCGCGGAAAACTTGGCTGGAGTTGGTTTCGCTGAGTAAAATGAGATGAACGCTATATGGTAGTAGGATACCCGCCGATTCGGGAACCGCATTGATCAGAGGCACGAGGAAACCCAAGATAGGATCACTAGCTGCAATCTCGGAGATCTGGATGAGTAGTTTCGTGGCCCAGTCGCGCGATTTTGCGTCAGAACCGCAATCTGTTCCTTCTTGTTTGCTCACGAGGCCGGAAGCTAGAGACAACGGCGCACCAGGGCATGGAAAATTCTCAAATCTCAATTCATGGAAAAGGCGTATGTCGAATTCCGATCCTAAGAAGGCAGATTCATCGGCTTCGTTCAAGTTGCTGGAGATTAGCTGTAGAGTGTTTTCGGCAAAACTCAATGCAGGATAATCGGACTTCCAGAGTAGATCCACTAGGTAGCGCATGATATTTGTGTGGGATGAGACCGCTTCCAGGCCGGCATCCGACGACTTATTTTGCATTTGCTGTGTTTTGTCGTTCGTCGTCGATTTTAGTCCACGCATGATAAACCCCCGACCAATTACCTGGGCAGCCCAAATTCGGAATGATTTGTCTAGAGCGAACCTTCTCAATAGGATTTCTAGTGTAGGTGAAAATCGAGAAGCATCGTCGTCATTGGCAAGTATGTCATCTTGATAGTCCGGCGATGCGTAAAACCGATGGCAAAGAATCTTGATTGAGAGATCGAAGTGAAAGTCCGACAGAAGTGGATCCTTGCTGCTTTGATCCGATAACAGGGCGTAAAGCAGCTGCCCTTCGCTTGTGCCTTGCGCGCTGCTTCCTTCATGGGCTATGGCTTTTGCGTGCCGAATGATGAGCTTGTACATTCGTAGTGCTTCGCTTCCCGCGTTTGTGAGCTCGAGAGACTCCAAGTACTGTCCTAGAAAAGCTCGAAAATCTTGAGCATTAGTCATAGTTGAGATAAAATGGTCCTCCTGCGTGGTACTATCTTGGGAGGATGTGATGAAACCCGTGAGAGAGGCGAAGATGGATACGCCGAGACCAGCGATAAATGAAGGTCGGCAGGACAGAGATGGAGTTCCGTGACGAAGGAGAAAGCGGTAGATGCCCATTGTCTCCTCAGCACACTCGAAAACAGTAAGGTAGGGTCGCAGGTTATGGAGCATCATCTCCAAGGGATAGCCTTCCTGAGCAACCGGCCCTGCGAGGCTGATGACGATGCGGATTTTTCGAATGATACTGCAGGTATGCAGAGGTCCTAGTGCTGGTCTCGCTCTGTCCAAAAGTTGCCTGTAAACATGGACTAGGAGCCCTGATGTCCATATGTCGGTCACTTCCAGATGAAGTCGCGAGCACAGGTACTTTAATTCCTCTGGAAGGCAGCGTGCCCGGAAGCATGGTTGCTGAGCAAGTGGTAACTGCACATTCTGACCTGAATTGTTTACTATCTCTTGCCAAACTTTGAGGCTGGGGGCCGGCAGAGCCTTTTCAATACCCCGGTCATCTTGAAGGGCTATCACAAGCAGGGCAATAATATCCGGGAGGCGCTCGCGAAGTCGCTGGAGGTATAGTTGTGACCCTAGTTGCTTCCGCACCAACTTCTCCGAGCCATCGTAAAGACGGTCAGTCTTCGGCACGCTAGTTTCGGACGCAAGCGTGTAGGCTTCGGCATAGGCAAACTGCTCCGTGAGCAAAGAGTTCCAATCCTTGCCAACTAGCTGAGCAAGCTCTTCGGAGTAGTGGAATCCACGAAGAGCAATCTGCCCTGTAAGCTCACCAATATTGTCAGCAGCCATCTCCTGCAAAGAGGCGTATTCAAATAGTTGGAAGGGTATGCTAGCTAGGGTTTCTTGCGACAGCCATGTGTAGAAGATCTGGGGTGAAAACAATTTGAAAAGTTGCCTCGGTCGGTCGAGTTCGAGCACTTTGCAGGTCCTGACGATACAGCCGTATCCGAGTTTTGTCGTAGAAGGCACATGTGCCACCGTCTCAAATAGGTGATACGTTGCTTGCCTCAGAACGGTATGCCATCGAGCCCCGAGGTAGGAAACAATGTACAAGCGTACGGCAATACCTTCTATGTTGTCGGGATCGGAAGGCAACTTCCCGACAACGTCATCGAATATTGCCTCGTGTTGAGTCAGGACGTACTTTTCGAAGATATGGGACAATTTCTCTGCAAGGCGATGTTGATTTGCCGAGTCACTAACCTCCAGAACGTTCAGCAGGCTTGTTCGGGGCGACGGTAGATCTTCACCGCCATAAGATGCACTCTTGCGGAGCAGAGCATCCAGAAGGTTCGCCATTGCCGACAGCACCCTCTGGGACGCAACGCCTTTGCGAACCATGGTGTTAACAAACCAGTAATAAATATCCAGTGCCGTTTCCGCTAAAGCATCATCTATGCCTTCGGCTGTCCACAGATCCATGAGACTTTCAAGCACATTGAGACAGAAACATAAAGCAGCCTCGCATCTTCCAAAGACTTCATTCCCTAGATATAACTCGCCAAGCTTCTTGAGCAAGCGATGTGCATCTTCACGAGCCGTTGCAGTTTTCAGGTTAAGAAAGTCTTGGACCGCTCCTCGTGCAGCAATGAGGGAGATTGGATCAAGAGCCAAAACCTGGTCAATGACCAAAGCGGTTGCAGAAGAGTCGAGCAGTCCCTTTGACTTCACCATCTGCAGAGCTGTCGTCAGCTCCACCGCGTACCTTGCCAAACGAGCACGCAAATCGCTGCAGACTGGAAGGTCAAGTCTCGAGATATCCATACCAGCTCCGGGCTGGCTCCTTTGCGTTGCCTGCGAGTCCCAAGCATCATCGTCCAAGAAGTCCAGGTCCGAAGGGTCGTTGGTGGTTGTCGATGCCATGGCGTGACGAACAACTTGCAACGCAGATTCGATGACAGCCTGATATTCTTCCCCGTAGTGGCGGTCACTGCTACGAGAGAGCTGTTTGTGGATCGTGACTATACAAGCGCAGATACGATTGGCCATTTCTCGAGAGCGGTCGACGCTCCGGCTAACGACGAATTCCGTCAGGACGCGGCGGCTCTCAGGGAGAATCAAAGGCTGTCTGTATCCAGGAGCTTGGGCACCACAGCGAACCCATAGCGCAGAGGAGACGGTCGTGACAACACCTAGAATTTCCACGATATCATTTCCGATATTTGAAATGCGTTCGGCATAGATCGCCTTCCATGAGTGGAGGAAATCCCTCGTCTTGTTTGCTAGAAAGTCCATTACGGTTCGAAACAGCCGAGTCAGGGTGGACGTATCAAATTGGCGAGAGATAGGGTTGGAAAGCTCAGTTGCCTCGATTGTTGCGGAAGGGATGGCGAGAAGATACTGGAAGAAGTCGAGATTGGCTGATGCCATCATCGACGACTTGAACAATGAATGCGCCAGTGTCCAAGCTTCACCAGGTACTGTTACGTCTGCGAGCCCACACGTAGCACTCAGCAACCCGAATAAGAGCTCCGGTCTAGCGTGGCAGACGATATGCGCATTGTGGAGACGGTCAAGGTTCGACGCTGCAGAAGAGTCAATCATGATAAGCAAAGCCCTGATAGGAACGAACGTACGGAGAGTCCAACGAACAGTGAGCCAGCCGATAATCTTCAGACCGAAAGACTCAAACCGCCTCTCGTTGTCGAAGAATTTAGAGCGCAGGGCGCCGGTCATCAAGGCTAGAGAAGTGTCTGTGAGACTGCTGGGCCCGTTATTACCACCCCCGAACAAGGTACTCTCCAGCAGGTTTGCGCTCATTGACGAGTCTAGAGCCCCTACTTGGAGGAGCACATTGAGTGCATGGCATGCAGCCCTCGTCGTGGGGACCACTGTCATTGCTCTGCTAGCTGCATCCCAAACCTGTAGCCAGAAATTGGAGGGTTCATGAACGCGACTAGCATTATCGAGCGCTAGTCTAGATTACCATGAGCGACTGAATCGGAAGTTCGAGAAAACAACGTACCGCGAAAACACCAGGAAAATCCACGTTTGCACGGTAGGGTCCTCGCTGCCGAGTTCCGGCAAGAGCCTGTAGAGACCCTTTGTCCATTCTTGATCGATGCATCCAGGCTGATCAAAAAGAAACAAGATAATCTGCAAAGCAACCAATTTCTCTTGCCAGTTGCCCACCACTGCCAGGTCGAGGATCTCATCTAGGCGACTTTGGACCTTTTGTCGCTTCCGCGGAACTTCCTCTGGATCGGCTGTAGTAGTTTGGGCAGATCCTTTGAGATTCAACCCAACGATGAGACATGCAATTACCGACAATATAAACCAGCTGGTTACTGCGCGCGGGGAGTTCTGAACAGGTTTGAACTGTCTGAGCTGTAAAGGGGTATTTTCTGATGCGAGAATTGGCTGCAGATCGTCGAAATGTAGGACGTCCCTTTCATTCCTTGTGCGATAGTCGGACATGAGTGTGATCAAAAGTGGTTCCAATATCGCTGAATCGATTGCGGGCCATGGCCCACTAGGAGCGAGAAACAGGTATCGACATGAGAACAAGGTGATGAGCATTTGTTGCTGGAGAAGGATGGACCTACTTGACCATAATCGCTTAATGATGGGAATAAGGTGAGACAACAAAGTCTGAGTAAAAGCAACATCCTCAGTAAGAGAGACAAAAATGACGTTGTTCACAGTCTCAAATGCCCCCTCTTGACCGATTCTGTCGACCTGCAAGAAGTCCAGGATCTTCTCGGCGATAGGGGCCGCTCGTGACATGACTGGTGCGTTGACGAAAGATGTCAAATTCTTCAAGGCAGTCAGGATGTCCTCGAAATTTGAAGCATTCTCCTTACCGGTGCTCCGGCCACTTGTGTGGCTGAGACGCAAAGCCAATTGCTGATTGTTTCTCGAGGCCGCACTGCTTGAGCGGCTGCTTGAGAGGCTGCCGTCAGCCACGCCATCATCTAGACCAGCTGACAGACACGTGAGCGCAAAATCTACGTATGCCTGCCATTGTTTGCGGCGCATATGTTCCCCATGCGGAGCGTAGCCGAGGAGGATTCTGAAGCACTTCAGGTAGTCGTTCTGAAGGGGCTCACATAGCGAACCATCTGGTGAGGGCAGAGTGTCGATGATGTGGTCCAATACCGAAAGAGCAGTCTTGAGAGAGAGCTTTGGGGTTGCCACCTCGACCACTAGGCGCAGGGCAGCAGACGCGGCTTGCAAACGGGACGAAGCTGTGTTCCTCGTCGTTGGCTTGGTGGTGGCTCGAAGGAACACAGGCTTCTCCTTGGAGACGGTCTTGTAGAGCAGCTCCAATATCGCATGGAATATATCCTCTTCAATCTTATCACTGGGATCACGAATCAGCACGCTCAACAGTGGAATAAATGCGGCACACATACGAGTTCCGCTGTTCCCACAAGATGCGTTTGAGGTCTAAGGGTACGTTGTTAATTCAGAACAATTTGGTTGGGTCAAGATTACCTTCAAGCCCTTGACCTCTCACCCTCTGAGTGTCCGCTCCTAGTTTTCCTGTGAGACAAAACATGGCATTGTTAGTCGGCGAGGCTGAGCGATACGGAGACTTTTGGGGAGGAAATGTCGAGTTCGTACCAACCGCAGTCGCAATGTTAACCTCCGACATCTCTCCGGTCAGCAGGGTTGTAAGACTGATCCGGAGCCAGAGTCATGATCTGGGCAGACAAACAACCTCCGCATTTAGTCCAGGTCACAACTGCTTGGTGCTGGCGGCTATTCATGGCGTGTGAAGACGAAGATGGCGAGGGCGACGTGACCTGCGAGCTTGGCAGCACTAACCTGATTCGGAAGTTGCGACAACTTTGCGGAACTGCAACTGCGGTCGCGCTTACAACTCTTTTGGATACGCGCAGAAAGGCTGCCCCCATTCGACAACTTTCTCACGCTTCTCTCACTCTTAGATGACCTCCACACGAACACTTTCAGCATGGACAGTCTCTTGCGCTTACAAGGTCTTCATGCCGACCTCGTTGCCTTCACTGAAACGCGATTGGCCAACATTGATCGCCTGTGGCAGGAACTAGAAGACAGCATCGAGGATTTCAGAAAGCTGCTGGACAAGACAACACCGACGGCAGCTGATCGAGATGCTTACAGCAATGGTACGGTGCTCTTTGGTCCCTTCTGGAGGACTTTCTGACTGACTCATGCGTAGGGAAACTCAGTGTTGGCGACCAAGAATACGGCGTCAATGACGAATTCAAGCACATCAGCCGGGCCATTGCAACGACCCTGGACCTAGACGAGATCGAGGCCGGACGACTGCTCATCCAGAGCCAGACCGATATCCACACCACGGAGGACTCCTTTGTGACAGATGCAGTGAGCAAATTTCATAATCGCAGAGACCTCCTCCTCCAATCCCTACGGATTACACTCCAACAATCGCTCAGTTTAGAAGCTGGGGGTGGGGTCAAACGAGTCTTTGAAACCACAGTTGCCCGTGTTTTGGATATCGATGGTGGTGTTCCTAGCAATGGGTCAATCTTCACCAGAAAATGCTTGAGTACACTGGAGGATATTGAAAAATTACAAGCCAAGGTTTCGGATGCACTTCAAAGCAAGGCGGTACTGGGTGGACCGCGGGGTCCCGAGTTTTATGCCACTCTTGAATTTCAACGAGACAGTCTGTTTAAACAGCATGAGGCCCTGGCGTGTATTCTCGCGTATTTGTTCCAAGGAGACTACACCAACCAGGAAGATCTTCGGAAACTTCACAGTGTGCTTCCGCGCTGGAGCCGCCTCGATTTCAATCTTGTTCACTATCTCCCCGCGTTTTCAACAGCATTTCGGCAGTACGGCTCCCCCGGTAGCCACCTTTCCCAGGAGAGCACTGCCTCCCTTGACTCGGTGTTCGGGTCATTGCCACAAGATGCTACCTCAGCCCCCATCCGGCCTTTCCAAGCGGTTCTGAGCCTATGGTGGACCGTTGAGTACAGTGGACAATTTCGCGACCTGTCGGACCAGGACTTAGGAGCGGACAAGCGGGCAGATGCAGTCAAGGCAGCATTGAAAGAGGACGCCCTGGAATTCATGCTTGCAATTTGTACAAGCACCAATTCAGATGTCTGGCGGCATCCAGCGCGGCAGGAAATGGTAGCTTTGCTTCTCAGCGATACCGCGGGTTTCACACTCGAAGGCGAGCAGACGTCATCCTACTTTCGCTTGCAATTCATGCAATCTCTAGAGAACTTCACCGAGGCCTTCATTTCGAACATGCCTGACTCAATTCGAAAGCTCAAGACCGAAGAAGACGATCAGAGGTTGAATCAGCTGATAGCAATGCAGGAAGGCTTACCACCTACCACTGAAGGCACGATCGTCAGTAAGCTTCATCTGGAATGCTTTCTCATCCTCATCTCCTTCGCTTTCGAAGGGAGACCCGAGGCTGCGGAGCAATGGTGGGAAGACCCCGACAGTAATTTGTACGGATTCTTGCAGTGGGCATCTCGAAGACAAACGGTACCAAGGGTGAGCGCCTTCTGCGAGCTTTTGTGCTCGATCTCAGAGGAGCAAGAGTGCGCAGAAGCTGCCCACAAATTCTTGCTAGACGACTCACTCCCTGCTCCGACAAGAGGTAGACGCAACCCTTCCATGAACTATCAACAAATCTTTGCCGAATTGGAGCTCTATTCGCAAAGAGTCCATGAGCGTCCTGTTACATCCCAACTACCAAACGTACGAAAAGTCCAGCCGACCGACATGAACGAGCTTGAGAGCCCTGTAATGCTATCCTGTTATCTCCGCTTGCTTGCGCATCTCAGTCGACAGCCCAGTGGTACGCGCCAGTACATCCTACAGACAGTGACTCCAGCCTTCCCACAGGCTCTCCTGCTTCTCAGCTCCGGTCCTGTCCCGAGTTATCTACGAGCAAGTGTTTTTGCGGCGCTGGACGCGCTGCTGACCGACAAGACTGCTCATACAGCTGCGACGTTGTGGCAGATCATCGATGACTGGGCCGCAAACAGCCATGACCGAGCCCGATCAACCGCTAGCAAAACCATAACACCTCCGAAACCCACCTTGCTCAACCTACAAAGCACCCTCAATTCAATTGCAATGTCATTTGACCAGTATGATGCCTTTGTTGTGTTGATGCGCGATCTGGTCGTTTCTTTGCCATCCACCGGGCTCGGGACCGACTTGCTTCCGTTCCCGAAAGATCTAGGCGCGTCATACAGGTCCCCCGGAATAGCACCTTATATTGATTTCGTATGCGGTCAAGTCTTTGTCAAAGCCATCCTAGAAGTCACTGATGAACTCCAACGATCGATTGGCTCATTTCATTGCCTCGAATTCGTGGCCGTCGGCTTGGAGGGATTCAACGAAGACTACGTGGCCATGCTTGACCGTACGACGTCCACACATGATGCTCTTCAAGAGATGCCGCAGGCAGCATCATATGCTCAACGCAGTCCATTTGCGAGACTTATGCAGTGGATCCTGAGCAGCGACATGAACAAGCCGCTGATGGAAACTCTGCGCGTATCCGGAGAAACTGCAGAAGCAGCTCTTGCGGACTCGCCCTTGCTCCTCAGCCTACAACGTTCAATTGACATCATCAACCGCGTGCTTGACCTACAGCCAACTTATTTCGACATAGTGAGACCGCTCGTGCAATCTCAGTTGGCACAAGATGGCCCTCTTGCCCGGCCAAATCTAAATGCTCTAGAAGATAGCCTTGTTGCAAACCCGGAAATCGTGCTCAATCTTTGCCAGTTTTCTGCTACCGGACATTCGGAGCTGGCACTTCGCGCTCTGGCTTTGCTACAGAAGCTCTCCAGCTCACCGAAGCTTAACAACAATTTCCTCGCCGCTGAGTCTACTCCTGGTCGAACTCGGAGAATTGTGGACATGTTGGGTCCAGATCCCACCTTTAAGCTGGAGCCAATCGCAAGAAATCTGTCTGCTAGGTTGCAGTTCGATGTCCGGGAACTTGAAGAAGGATTTGAGTCAGTCAGCTACCTTCTTAAAGATGGCATCTTGGCTTTCTTCAACTCGTGCCTTGAAACCCAACCAGACCTCCCGAACATCGCCCATCTCTTGATAGGTTTCGGTAGATTGGGCGAGCGTCTGACGATTTCGGACTCCATCGATACTGTGACTGCTGTTTTCAACTCCATTGTTGATCTGGTTCAGAATTATCCCGACGACGAGGATGGAATCATGTCTTCTTGGTTGATACACATGAAAGCAGCCGCTTTGCGTGTGCTGAAACATCTATGGTCTTCTCCCATATCAACAGCAATCGTTGTTGGCCAACTCCGGAGATTTCAATTCCTCCAGTCCATGTATATCAGCATCCCCGTCGTCAGTCAGCAAACTCTGTGGGACGGCAATAGCCTGCTTCACCCTGCTTTCTGGTACGCTACGTCGGCTGAAGCTCTTGCCGAATTTCTCACATTTCGAGCATCCCTATACAATTACACTGCCACTGAAATACGGGCTGCCGCAAAGGAAGGGCTGTCAACAACTCTCCGACAGTCACTGTCAACTCTACAGGGCAAGACTACAATCATGGACGGCAGTATCATCACTAATCCCGATGTGTTCACTCTTTTTGACTTCCTCGAACTCGATCTTTCTGCCAATTTTGAAATAGATCCTCAATTCTACCAGGGGGTGGAATTCGAAATCTATTTGACAGAGGCCACTGAGAGCCATCCTAGCCTTTACGATGTTAAGATGATTCGCGAGTATCTCAATGCCTACCGGGCCGACATCGTACGAAATCAGGCCACAACAGCGGGCAGCAGCAAAATCGACGAGCAAAATCTGATTGACGAGGCCGACATTTTGTTGGCCAAGGTTGAAGCTCGAAACCGGTCAATCCTTGCCCACAAAGCCAGAAGCGATGCATTGCATGAATATGTGGAGATGATTATAGCTATCATTGAAAGTTGTCCTATGGAGGCGACAAACAAGGTGCAATTCATCCTGCACATTTTACAAGTTATGCTTCCCAAGCTTGATGTCTTCATCGTCGATGGAAGAGCTGATGTGATGGAGCTGGCCCGAGCTGCTGATGCCTTGCTCTTCTCTCTCTCCCAAACAGACGTCGCAAACAGTCAGGTGGACAACCTCATAACGGAGAAATTGTTCCAGCTTTTCCGTGCCTCCGTTGAGGGTGTTGCGGCGTCCAACTCAAACGCAAACCTTAGGACAGTATTCTACAGCATTTGCTCACAATACCTGAGCCGGATTACATCCTCGACTGGTGGCGACTCGGATGTAAAGGCTAAAGCAAGGCGTAACAGCATGGACTGTGTCCGGTCGACAAGCCAGCGCGTCGTGCAAATTCTGTGCGACGATGCTGAAGACGGCGTAGACACTTGCAGACTGAACGCCCTGAGTCTTCTGTCATTTCTCGCCTCCCTGGCCCGCACGGAGAAATCTAACTTCATCCTCAACTCGCTCGTCAAGGCCAATGTGCTAGAGATCCTGGTCGACCCTCTTAAGCACGTCGCGGCAGAGTTTCAGGGCTCAGAACCCCTTTGTGAGTTTCCTTACTCAAGCTAGACAAGATTCGATCCCTTTGTTGCTAACGTGCTCGCCCAACGCAGATCGCCGTTACCTCCTCTCCATCTTCGAATCTCGCATGCTTCTGCTCCTGCATATCTCACGAACCCGTGACGGTGCAGGAGCTCTCCTCGACGCAGGCCTAATGTCTGCCATTCGCGACTCGCTCATCTTCCGGGCAGATCCCGATCTCGGCATCTCAATTCCTTCCAATTCCAGCGACATGGCTGAATCTAGTAGCTCCGCTGCCGACTCGGTCACATCCGCCCTCCGCACATACTACGTCCTTCTCTCATCAACCCTCCGCGTCCTTCTCTCTACATTCCTCTCAAGAGGTGCTCAGAACGAACAAATTCAATATCTCGCCCGCGCTCTTTTGACTGAATATCGACCAAATATGGTGGGTGTCTTCAAAAAGCATGCAGGTGTGAGTGGCAAAGTGGACCAGGCCCTACGACCACTGGTGGAGGAATGCGTCCGGTGTTATACTGGTTTGGCTACGTTGTCTGGCTTTGTCGATTTTGAAGACCAGGCAGGGTTGGATCCAGCACGGGACGGCGGCTTCTCGTAAATGCATCGGGCAACATGGCTCGTGGATAAAATATGGCACAAGGTTCATGAAGACATGAGCATTTTGATCAAGAGCTGAGCCAAATGACTTTGCTTGGACAAATTGTTTCGCTTACCTCACTTGAACCTTCAACATATCCTGTGCGCACTGTTATCCACCCGATCTTGACTAGTTTCCAGCCCCTACGTTGATGATGACCGTAGCCCTCGACAGAATCGCATAGTCGGAGCTCCGTGCCTACTCTATGCAGTTAACCTCGTGTCTTGTGTCGTGTCACCATTGTGTAGCCGTCGATCCTGGGGCTGATCTTCCTAGCAACTCAAGTTGACGTGTGCCCAAAAGCCTCTTGGATAACGGCCCTGTCAGTCTAGTCCGTCGACTTCAATCCACTCTCACCCTCAGCTAGCGTCGCCGTCACAATCGGGAGTATGTAGAGGCAGTGTCGTTAGAAAGCTTCCCGGAGTGCCGTAGAACTTGCCAGATCTAGCTAGTTGCTCCTATTTGGGCGACCGAGGGCGAAGAGACGTCCATGGTTCTGCCCATCCTACCTGAGAAACAGGGCGAGGGTGCTTCGAGTTCTGTCTAAGATACCCGTCGTTGGAAGCCACTTCGAGCTTAAACACTGAACATGGAGTGGTCAGCCAAAGATTTTGACGCAGCAGTCCACCCGTGTCTCAGTACACCTAGCTGCAGCGGCACTAATGGTCGAACAAGGTCAGTTCCGTGTTCTCGACACGCATAGCCGCCGACCGTCCCCTGTCCCCAATGTCGGAACTGTGAAAGCCGGCTTTTTCTCTCTCTCTCTTAGAGCGTCAACACAAAAAAAAAGGAGTTGTGAATGTCAAATACTAGCTGCTCATCGATTGGGATGTTGGAAAAAGAGATTTTCTCAACAGTATCTAACCCAGTTCACTGCGAAATAGATACAGACGATACCGTATATTTATCGCGGTCCAAGCAAGGCAGATTACTGTGGTGTGTATCAAGCAGACTGCACAAAACCTAGGAGGCAGTGCAGATAAAAGGCATCTTCAAACCACACGGAACGGACGGGGGAGGTCGTCGTGATCATTGCGGCAGCGGTGGCAATGAATTGGCACGCCACAGGCGCGTAGCATCACAGGAACCTAAATGTAAACAAGGAAATCACTCACGGACCGTCACGACGTCACTCCCAAAAAGGGGCACATCGCTATGAGAAGGGTAGACGACAGCAAGACCAGCTCACACCGACAATGGAACAGGGAGCCGCCTTGTTTTTGGTACTCGGACATTTTTTGGGCGGGATCCCGCCGCTGCTATCTGCGGCAGGACCCCTTTTTAAAATGAAAGAAAGAGAAAGAACAAACCACCCGACAAGCACTTTACTGCCATGTAAAATGGCGACAGGACATCCTCCCAGCACAGCCATCCCAGCACAGCCAACCCAGCACAGCCAACCCAGCACATGAGACCCCAACAACACGTTCATTCGATGGACAAAACAAAGGAGGGGGAAAAAAACCAAGAAAACAAGACACGAGTGACGTCTAGAGGACGCCGACCCGATCGTCCTTGCGGACGGTCGGGCCGGGTCCGTCCAGTGCCGCAGCAAGCGACGCCGGCGCCGGCATGTTGGCCACGACGGCCTCAAGACCGCCAAACACATCCTCCTCTGAGTCGACGCTTATATCGCGCCGGTGGAACAACCCGTCCCCGTATTGGGGCACGCGGACGGCAAAGGGGCCCCGAGCGGCCTTCCGCGCTCGGCCCAACGCCTTGCGCTCGGCGATTTTGGCCGAGGTCTTCAACTGAAGGCCTCGGACGGCCAGGTGCGCCGACTGGGGGGCGCGCAGCATCCTCAACACTTGTGGGAGGGCGTAGAGGTGCTTGACAACGATGTCGTCAGGGAGGCAGAAGGCATGCACTGAGACGTCGTCGACGATGGTGGACCAGACCTGCATGCATGAGTCGCGCAGGTGGACGGATTGGCTGCACGTGGTTGAGAACTCAACTGTGTGCATGTTGGCCAACACGAGATGGTACTGGGTGCGGCAGTCATAGAGAAACTCGACCACAGGACGAAGACCATGGGCTCTCCAGTCGTGGCTAAAACGCATGACAATCTCGGGGTTAAGACGTGCCGCGTTGGCCTCGTGGACAAGGAAGTTGTTTGTAGCGGTGACCAGGATCAGTTCGACGTCTCCGAGAATGCGTGCCTGAGTTGCTGGATCGAGAGAGACGAGAGTGCGGGGCGCAGTGGCTTCGACATGCTTCTTCATCCAGCTGTCGACTTTCTCCACCTCTGTTGGTGCTTGGGACTGTTCAGGTCAGAGTCGATCAGCATCTGAGTGCAGTTGAAAACTTACCATGAAGGGATGTTTCAAAAAAGAGCCAAGTTTCTGTAGACTGTTCTTGCGTGTCTTCTTCTCTGGCGTAGGACCTCGTGTTGGTGTATCACAGTTCACATCTTGCGAGTCATTGCGCTTATTGACAAGGTTCTTGATTGAGGTAAAGATCCGCGACTTCGAGGCACGACGTTCAGGATGCTCTGGTCGAGGTGGTGGCAGACAGAAGTTTGGAACCCATTGACGAATAGAAAGCGCAATGTGCTCAGGAGCGGTGTGTGGCATGCCACGAAGGTACTCTGGCATCTTTCCGCGAACCGCAAAGAGTCCTTCTGGCGCCGAGACAGCAGGGAGGAAGACAGGAACTTCGGGAGTAGGATTGTCCTGGAATGGGTTCATGTTGGCGATGCTAGAGTATGTGATCGCGCTTCTCAATGATCAGTACTCTGACGATCATGGCGTAATTTAGAATGATAACTTACGAGAGAGGGGGTTGTCCTGCTTTTTGAGGGTCGGCTGCGTGTGCGGCAGACGCGTCCTTGACTTCGCGAACAGGCGAGAGTTGGTGTTTGGTGGGGACTTCCTTTCGCTTGATGCGCTGTGAAGTCAGAGCGTGAGAGTCGTACTCCAGGTCTGGTGAATGAGCGGTGTTGTTGAGGGTTACAAGTTGAGGTTGATGGGACCGTGGTAACTGAGTATGAGTTGAGAGAGACCGCACAATTTCGCCAGGGCTGAGCGGCAATGGCTTGTTGAAATCCATGATTGATCTGGATCTTCTCACAAACGGTCGTGGATCAATGGTTCCGTCAAGCCAAAGTGGATATGGTTTTCGCTCTTGCTCAACCGGAGACTGAGTGTTGATGACAGTTTGAGTGTTAGAAGACGTGGCTGAATCTGGAACTGCGTTTTGAATTTGATTCGAATCTTCAGCCTTGGACTGTTTTGCTTGGCTAGAACCGGACTCGGTCCGAAAGAAATTCCGCATAATTTCCATCCAGCTGTTGCGTGAAGAATCACGCCTCTGCCAGACCGGTGTGAGGCTGCGTCGTACCACGGATCTTCTCCTCTCTTCCACCACAGCCTCCTCATCGGCGGGGAGATTGACCTGTGAAGACTGCCTCTTGCGCACCTTTGGATGCCATATTGTGCCATCAAAGACTCTAGCTTGCCGATTGACAGCACATGTCCTCTTGCCAAAGTCGGAACTGTCACCAATGGGGCGGCGGGCGAAATGTTTGAGACTGTCCGAAAGTTTGCGATGTTTTTCTGCTGACTTGTCGTGCTCCGCAGGTTCTTGCCTATCGACTTTGGTCGAATCTTTAAGTGGTTCGGTCTTACCCGAAGTCATAGGGCTAGACGGATGTGACTTGCCTTGACTCCAAGGTATCTCACAAGAGCCGACATAGGTTGCGCTAGACAACATATGCGACGGTGGGTAGGCCCCATTGAGATCCTTGCTGCTAGGGCTGTTTTGAGAGGGGCCGATCTGTTGGAGAGTGAGGATTTCGCCTTGTCCGCCTCTCAGGGTCGGCCGTGGCCCTGAAGAGGACCGACGGGATGAGAGCATCTCGAAGGAGACCAAGAGCGCTGGGTCTATATCTGCATCAAGCAAGGATGGTTCCACCTCAATGAACTCTTGTTGTGAAGAGGCACTTGCTGATATCTGGGTGGCGTCCGACTCTCTAACCGTGCTTGGGCGCTTGGCTTTCCCTTGGTTGGAGGGCGGCGACGATCCATGTTCCGATGCCAGCAAGGCTCTGGTTCTCTGATGGGAGTATGTGGTCGCGGGGAGTCGATATGCGTTCTCTTCGTCCGATTCTCGAGGCTTAGTGTGGATGTCACCAGGAGGAGACCCGGTTGTTCTGTTCTGATTGGGAGAGATATCTATCAACGCCTTTCTTTTTCCAGCATCCTCAGCTTGACGAGCTCGCTCACGTCTTTGGGCTTTTTCAGTTTTGATGATGAAGTTCATTGCCTTGAGTTTACGAATGTGTGGCTGGGTGGGTTGCTGCAGGATAAAGCTTCCTACTCTTGGGATGAAAGGGTTCAGAGCATCATCCTGAGAGCGGCGTCAATGCTATACACTCCGGCCAGGGAGGTGGGACTTACATTTCGGTGCCTCCAACTGTGACGCCATGACCGCCAAACGTCTCCATCGTCTCCGAAACCAGCAGCGGTTCGTTCATTCTCGAGGAGGTCTTGAAGTACGCTTGTCGCATCGGGAAGCCCTGCATATCCATATCGCTCGAGGATCAAGCTATACACTTCTTCCATGCCAAAGGAGAAAGGATAGACTGGTACGACACGCTCGCCGACTTCCCGCAGGAAGAAACGGCATTCTTCTTCATCGAAGCAACCAAGGTCTTCGACTCTGTTCAGGTTGTTGAGCAATGGGGAAGGGATTGTCGCTGTCAAGTTGCGGCGACGCGTAATGTCCATGGTGGCGGATGGGCAAAGCAACGTGAAGACAGAGAGAGAGAGAGAAAGAGAGAGAGAGAGGTGTAGAAGTGAAAAGTGAGCCAGTATAGTAACACGATCAGGACATGATGAAGACAATGCAAGAATCTCGACACGATCAGGATAAGAAAGCAGTTGCACTGACCGAAGGAGACTAACGAGAGACGTCTTGATCAGTCCGCGGAGAGGAACGAAGTGAGTTTTTTGCATGAGAGGTAGAATGTGCGACACGTTGAATTCGAATTCGTCTGAACGACATCGCTGCCGGTGCGGTCATTGCCTCACGCCAAGTCGATCCGGATGATCATTTTTGCGACCCGGCTCCGAAGGCGACATCAAGGCAGGCGGCAACGCATCTCCAGGCACGTGTTTGCTGGAAATATAGCCATCTCTTTATCATCCAGTTCGCGCATTCCGCGGCATTGCAGCCAAAAGCAAACAGTTTACTCACAGACTTAGTCCAACTCATGACGAATGAACCGCCATCCCCAGCTCAAAGAAAAAGTCATCGAGCAATCCATATCCATATCCATATCCATATCCATATCAGCCCAGACCCAGGTGAACCTGCTGCATCATTGATACCCCCGATAAGCAGGCCTGTAGGGCGTAGTTCCTCTGTCAAGGATCAGTCAGGAATGACAGTTGCAAGACACGGTGGTTCAGCCGAATAGAATGTCATAACTTGACGAAGACATGCAAAAGCAGTCCCTCATTCCCAACCACATCAAATTTCCCCTCACCCCAGTACTCTGTATGTCCAGAGTGTTAGTGAACATGTAGTTAAGAGAAAGCAGGAAACTTGCGTGTCGTGAGGTTGAAAGAAGGCTGCTCCATGCCAAGGCACTAGGGGCTGGGCGTGTATCCCGTGACCCTGGGTTTGCCTGGGGAGAACCTCTGAGACGTCTGCATCACGTGATAGATTGAGATTGCCGACATTCCTATCCGAATCTGCGGGGGACTACCGCTCATGCCGCTGTCTGACCTCTCCTTCCTCCATGACGTTTTCTGCTCGCCCAAAGAATGCCCTCCATGGCCGCCACTGGGGCTTTCCAGCTGTCGCCAATGCCTGGGTGGTGGTTTACCAAATCAAAAGAGCCCCGAGAAGAGGATCTGGGCCTGCTCGGGAAAACACCACTTCTTGCCCTTGGACTCCCTCCACCCGCCTCCAGCCATACTAGCTCTCAGCGGCAACAGTTTCGGTGACTGGCTCGGAAACGGCCACCCTCTTCGCTTGATCTTAATATTGACCTCGCCGCTTGGGCCGGGCCTTCAGATATCTGCCATGCTCCGAAGCCGAGCAACCGCGTCTTTAGGATTGATTTCATAAATTGGCCTTTTTCTTCCCATTTCTCCTTCTCAAGGTCATCCATCTTGTTTCCTGTGCGACAGTCTTCACAGAGCTGCACGCTCTGCTTTGTCCAACTTGTATCTTGGCCGCAGCTCCTTTTCTTGTCCTTCCGTTTGCCAATTCAGACCATTTGCCCAACCATAGCTCAAGATGCCTTCAGAGATACCCGTATATGATATTGTAATCATAGGCGCTGGTCCAGTGGGTTTATTGCTTTCAGTATCACTATCACGATGGGGTTACAAGGTCAGACACATCGACAACCGACCTGTTCCAACAGCGACCGGACGAGCGGACGGCATCCAGCCACGGTCTCTTGAGATCCTCCAGAACATGGGACTGAAACGAAATATCATGGCCCATGACCCCGCTCGAGTTTTTGAAGTCGCATTCTGGGATCCGGCACCCGGTGGGAAGATCGTGAGGACAGGGACCTGGGCCAGCTGTCCGGAGTTCCTGGACGCCAGATATCCCTTCACGGCTCTCCTTCATCAAGGATTAATCGAGCGAGTTCTCATCGAAGACCTGGAGAAGAATGGCACCAAGATTCAGAGGCCCTGGACCATCACTCGGTTCGAAACGAATCACAAAAACCCGGAATATCCTGTCGAGGTCGACCTAAAGAATCTTGACAGCAACGTCACCGACACCGTTCGAGCGAAATACCTCTACAGCGGGGAAGGCGCCAAGAGTTTCATTCGTGAACAGCTTGGAGTTCAAATCCGACACAAAGACCCAATCTCCCATGTTTGGGGGGTCATGGATGGTGTAGTTCGCACCAACTTCCCAGACATCAAGATGAAATGCACCATCCACTCAGACCATGGTAGTATCATGGTCATTCCCCGCGAAAACAACATGGTCAGACTATACATCCAAATTGCCAGCTCTACAGACCCCGATTTCTCACCTCGGAAGACCGCTACCGTGGAACAAGTGCAGGCTGCTGCGAAACGCATCTTCCACCCTTACTACTGCAACTGGGAGCGCGTCGAGTGGTACTCCGTCTACCCGATCGGTCAAGGCATCGCCGACAAATACACACTGGACCACCGAGTCTTCATGGGGGGCGACGTGTGCCACACGCACTCCCCCAAAGCAGGGCAGGGCATGAACACTGCCTTCCACGACGCCGTCAACTTTGCGTGGAAAATGCATCTCGTCGAATCCGGCTTCGCTTCACGAGACATCCTATCCACATATGAAGTTGAGCGGCGATTCATTGCCGAAACCCTCCTCAACTTTGACAACAAATACGCCGCACTCTTCTCAACGCGCCAGCCAACCGCTTCAGAAGTCGACGATGCACACAAACAAGACGGAAGCGAACACAAGAACGAATTTGTGGAGACGTTCAAAGCCAACTGTGAATTCACCTCCGGATTCGGCGTTGCCTACAACCCAAATATCTTCAACCACTCGGGCGAGCACCCCTTCCAGCATCCCCTCATCATTACCGACAGCCAGAAGCTGCGTCCGGGCCGGATAATGCCGCCCTCGAACGTCACTCGCGTCGTCGACGCCAACGTCGTACATCTCGAGAACGAAATCCCATTCAACGGGTCTTTTCGCCTGTTCATCTACGCCGGACTATCACAGTCCCCCAAGAAGGGTGCGCACAAGGCTTTGGCGGACTTTGCTGAGAATCTCACTGCAAAGGACTCATTCTATACGAGATTTGGATGCGCCGACCGCCAGAGAGATAACCACCACGACATGGACAACCCGCATTCACGGTTCTTCTCGCTCGCGCTGGTCATCGCCGCCAAGAGGCCAGAGATCGAGATCTCCGACCTACCCGCCGTGTTCAGAGACTACTCTGGACGTGTCTATGCGGATGACCGCAGGGATATGAAGGTGTTGGATGCAAAGGTTGCGGCCCATGCGAAGGTCGGATTGAATGGCGACGAAGGCGCCGTCGTGGTAGTGAGGCCCGATGGACACGTCGGCATTGCTGTGCGCTTGGTAGAGGGTAAAGGAACGATGGAGGCCTTGGAGGGATACTTTAAAGGTTTCACCGTCAGGACCGGCCTGGGCGGTGGAGCTGAGAGAATGAGATCACAGCTGTGAAACATGCAGCAAACTCACAGCGATGTTGGTTAAAAAAGGGGTGTGGAAGGTGAAGTGATGCGGGAAAAGAATGAAAAGAATCAAGGAAAGGACGAGGCTGATTGATTTGTCCTCGGAGACTGCCAGCAGAGCTTGAGCCTCGGGGGTATCTACTATCTGCTTTACCTAGTTAGCCATATCGTTTGTCTTGCATGTGGGCGTTGCATAAAGAACTAGGTATCTATCTGGGCGCCGTCACGTTTTTAATGGTAGCGAAATCTCGTGAAATTGAAATTGAGATTGTGATTCTCCTGAATTTCAGAACGTCGTTCTCAACTCCTCAGTCTGTGGTGGTGTTGTTGTTGCCCTGCAGGCGGGCTCCTTTGCGCTACCTAGGTATTGTATAAGGGGTGGTTATTTTCGTATCGTGAGGTACGTAGACAAACAACCAGCCAGTCACTCACTCGATCAAGCGGTGTTTTTTTTTTTTTTTTTTTTTGTGCTTATCAATGATCATCAATCTCTCGAAACATACTACATACTACATCATGGAGGGGTGTAACACTCGCGGTCCATGCCTCCTATTTACGTCCCAGCGTGTTCGCTTTCCTGCTCAAGGGCCATTCATTCATCCATATATATATATATAATATCCACGTATACATCCGTCTTTGTCGTCGTCATCGTCACCGTCACCGTCGTTGCCGTCGGATCCGCGCGTCTAGGAGACTCGGCTCAGTCCTCGCCCTTCAACCGCCCCTCGATCTCCTGCAAGTCCTCTGCGTCGGCGATCTCCAGCACGCGATTCACTTCGGCGGTGGAGCGCATCAGCTCCACGGCCCCGGCGTAGCTCATCCGCATGTTCGGGTTGCAGTTCACGGGCAAGTAGTACAGCAGGACGTAAGGCACGGAGTGGCGCCCCGAGGCCTTCATGGGGGGGAAGAAGATGGTTGTTAGTTAGCGCTCGCGTGAGCTGTGAGGGTGGAGTGATGATGTATAAGGGCATAACAACTGATAGGGTAGGTAGGGATAGGGAAATAGGGGGGCCTGTGCTTGGGTATAGAATGGGAACAGAAGGGAAACCTACTAGAGTCATTGGGTAGCTTAGAAGAATAAACCGCGGTGACGAGTCTGGGAGTTCATCGGCCAGTTCGAGCATGTCGCTGTATGTGTCATCGGAGGAGGGTTTGATTTCTTGTGTCTTGGTGTCGATTTGGTCTGTTGATTTTTGCAATGATTGGGCACAAGTCAGCGTATGATGCACGGTGTGCCCTTGTGAGAGAGGTGGCGAATAACTCCCGTCTACATGTCCCGGCTCTCAGAAGTCCATATGTCCTTTGAAATTACGCGCAACTCTCCCGGCCCCATGGGAATTATTTTCCTCCAATAGACCACGCGTCTCTTCGGCCCAAGTGTGTCGCTCCTTAAAGAACAGCGCGAATTCTAGAGCATTGAACAGGGCCAACAAAGGGGATATATGCGACTCGATTTCGAGACACCACTCACAAATTTTAGCTAGTGGCGTCTTTGCCCGTGACGTGCCCAGCCGGAACTTGCGCAGCTGGTCCTTGGTCTCCTGCGAGAAGGTGTAGAGCCTTGACTCTGACTAGTTAGTGTTAGTCGGTAAGCGACGAGAGGTGTGTACAGCGTCGGTGTTTGCCGTTGGATGATGGGGAGGGAGGAAAGAAGCTCAGGCAGCAGTCCCCGAAACGGAACGGAATGGGAGTATGTACCATTTTTTTGGGGGGGGCGTTGATTCAGCTCGCTGGGTTTTACCAAAACTTTGAGCAGTGACGGTGAGTGCGATTCCCTCGTGATCCGGTCTGTTTCTCACTCAGGGGGAACGTCAACGACAGCGATATTTTCCTTTCCAGCGACGAGGTGCGACGGCTCAGCCTTGTGCAGCCTTGATAGTCAGCTTGCGGAGTTGGTTGAGAAACACGGGGCCGCCGGAAGAGTGCGTAGGGATTGAAGGTTGATTCTAATATTTTCCCTTTGAATGTTCGCTTTAACTTGGTAGAAGTCTAGCGTTGCGAGATGACTTGTTCAACGGGTTGTCAGCGACAGAATGGCATGATTCGATGGCAGCGGTTGCAGGGTGCTTGGTCAACCTGGTGTCGATGGTGGGGCAATTCAATCCAATCCTTCTGCCGGCTTATCGACCTGCGCCCTGCATTTACCGAGTACAGCTGCACCACTCGACCACTTGCCAATACACGGCTGCCGTCCAAATACAACGATCCCTCCTGCCGCATCGCATTGTGTCTCACAGTCTCTCTCGCGTTCAATGTTCTCTCGCCTCTCCTTGATCGCAAGACACCTGTTACGACCTCTGCCAAACTACGCGCACCGCTCTGCCGCCGCCCTGTCCTCTCCCTCATCCTCTTCCTCCAAAATGACCTCATCTAATGCCGACACCACCTCTACGCCCACCAAGGCGATGATACACACGGCAGGATGCATAGTTATAGGCGACGAGGTCTTGGGTGGCAAGGTCAGGTGGCTCCTACGCTCCAGAGAGCCATCCGCAATAGTCGTTTGGGACAAGGCAGAACTGACACCCATGCACGAGTTGTAGACCGTCGACACTAATTCCGCATATTTTGCCCGCTTCTGCTTTTCCCTGGGGATGCAATTGAAGAGAGTCGAAGTCATTGCCGACGATGAAGATGAGATAATAGAAGCTGCCAGGCGCATGTCCCAGAATTATGATTTCGTGGTAACCAGCGGCGGCATCGGGCCAACGTATGTCCCTTCTAGCAATATATCTTGGAGGGCTGCATGGCTGACAAAATGGAGACACGATGATATAACATATCAGTCAATAGCCAAAGCATTTGGGCTTGAGCTGAAATTACACGAGCCGACCATGACCAAAATGAGGAAATACTCTAGACCCCACAGATCGCAACCAGACTTCGACTGGGATAAACCTTCACCGGCCTTGTCAGCAAAAATGCGCATGGCCCAACTCCCAACAAACCCCAATATTCCCGATGAGGAGCAGGTCTTGTTTGTCAAGGAGGACCTCTGGGTCCCAATTTCGGTGGTCAACGGTAACATCCATATCCTGCCTGGAGTGCCGAGGATATTCGAGACACTGTTGGAGGGGATGAAGCCTCGCATTCTTCCTCGTCTGAAAGATCCAGAAGGGAAAGGAATGTATCGGATGCTCTTTAGCACTCCACTAGCAGAGAGTCAGGTGGCAGGTTTTCTTACTCAGTTGGCTGCCAAAGTTGAGCCCAAGGGAATCAAGGTGGGAAGTTATCCTCGATGGGGCAAGAATAAGAATGTGGTGACGCTGGTGGGCAGCGATCGAGAATACATGGACACACTAGAGGCCGAGGTGGCTGAGGGCGTCAAAGGCATGAGGGTCAGAGCAGAAGGAGAAGACGATACCGATGATGAGACGGATGTGAAAAAGGACAAGGATGCATGATGTTGTTCTAGAACCACAATGATCACCCCTTCAGCATCATTTCTTCAGAAACCGGCCTCATGATGGTGGTTTCTTTTCCGCTCCAACGAGGCTCCCGATCCTCGATCTGGATCTTGCAAGCGACGCCATCGCACACATCGCAGGCCATCTCATGCAAGATGTTGTCCGGGTCGCTAGTGTGCTATGCATACCCAATGGAGATCTTGGGGACATATCCTCAGAGTTCGCCCCTTGGTTCGTAGGTTCAAAGCCGCTAACATGTGAAGGAAATGGCGGGTGTGACACATGGGAAAACCACGTGGGCCGAAGCGTTGAGGTCAATGCATGAAATGGCGCCGTGGTTTCTGTACGTGGTCGTGCTGGTATCATTGATGCCAAATGGTTGCCAGGAGTGGCGCACCGCTGGGTGGAATTCAACGAATCAAGGGGACTTTATCATTTGGGCAATTTTCCAGAATGTCACCCTGAGCAAGTGGATATCTGAAGGCATTGATGACCGGCATCCCGTCACCCATTTCTTTTGCAGCTGTCCGGGTGTGAACCTCTTGAGTGCTGATCCTGTCAGGGCTACCGGGGAGATCCCCTTGGCGTGAATGTCTGCTCCGTCCTCCGTACACACAACGTGGTTCGACGGACTTGCTTCACCCGAGACCCGACTCCCATGTGGATTGGTTCTATTTCTCAGAGGGCGGCTGTGATTCTTGGGAGTTGGATTGGCATGCGAAGGCGGTGATGGTGCCGCGCTTGGCCCTGTTGCCATGCGAACGTTGGGGTCATCGATTAGAGCAGCGGAGGGAGAAAACCGTTATCTCGAGTTGCTTCTTGCCCCGTCGTTCTGTATTATCTCGCACCTCTTACATACGTAGTGCGTAGTCTGGAGTCCCGAGCGCATGGAAGCCACAACGGTACAAGGTTTCTGGGTCCTTGGACCAGGAACAGAGGCGTGGTGCTAGGGTCAAGCAAGTCAAGGACGGCGTGTGAACGGGTGTGATGGGTCGATGAGCCGCCGAATCAACAGCCGGATGAGGCATGGGGTGCAAAATTTGGCTGGAGCTGCACAGGCGGGTATTCAGCGGTTACCGCCCACCCGGTTCTCTTGGAGGAGCCGTGGGGAGCCATGGTTGGTGAAGGGGCCCAGGGAAAGGGAGACATTCTCAAGCACTAACAAGGACACCACGCTAGGGGCATGTCCCATCGCCTTGTCGGCCGCACTCCACCAACTGGCGGGCGGCGGGTAGGCGAGCATAGGGCTTTCTTCGATAGGGGGCAACAGAGAGAGAACAGAAGCACATTCGTCTAATGGATGCATGCCACAGACGGAAGGCGATGGGATGGGATGAAAGATGTGCAAGGCGACGACGACAACGACGGACACGAGAGAGAAGAACAAGAGGGCAGGTAGGCATCGTGGACGCTTGTTGATGGTTGTGGTGTAGTTTTAGTAGGTTAGGAACTATCACTGCAAGTTCTTACTTAGGTAGGAGTAACAAGCGCAGGCAGCGCAGGCCAAGGGAGAGGAGGGAGAGAGACAGCGAGAGGAGGAGCAGGAGTCGCCTACTAGTATCGGTTTGGCGCGTCCGTCTCCGTCTCCTTCTCTCGTCAAGGATCACACACATTTCTCCCTTTTGCAACTGCCAACTGCGACCTTGTGCCGAATGTATTTGATTCTTCGCCCAGGCCCCAGGATACTTTTTTGTCGCTGCGAACACCAGAACGATAAGACTTCAGCTACTCCGTGTTCGGGCAACCGAGTCTGTCTCAACGGCCCCCTTCGTCCCCGACTCTGTGATAAAGTGGTTGAAGTTTCTCCCTTCGACCCGTGGGCCTTCAACCCTTCCCATTCCCATTCTCACTTGGACCCCTTGTCCCTTGCCGGCTCCTCTCCCTGCGATCCTTGGACCTTGACCCCGGTCCCAAACTAGAGTCTCAGTCCACATCCACACCACCTCACAGCCACTCCCAGAAACTCCCTGGCCTTGCTAAACTCCTCCTGCCTTTGAACCCAAACTCTCCACTGTTCATTTTTCGAGCACGACTCAACCATCATCGTTTCCGTGAGTTCCTGGACTCTCGCACGACGCTGCTGAACCTTGACCCTACAAACTATCCTCAACCGAGCCTCGCAAGCGAACGCGAACCCTCCGAATATTGCAGAGCTATCGAAACCTCCGTCTCTCTTCCTCCTCGCCTCGTCTACGGTACCTTCCTAAATCGCCGTTACAAAGTGCTTCAAAACCTCTGTTTCACTCTTGGAGCTACCGAGCACAAGCGATCAACCACTGTCCCTATTCTCCCCCCCTCAGCTGTTTCCCGTCGATTATCCCTATCACTCGTCCACGAACGGAACTGTTCTCGCCTGCGCCCTTCCCCCTTCCCGTCTGAGATCCTTCCGCCAAGGGCTCCTGTATCGCATTTTTGCACTCTGAGCCGTCCCCAGTGCCAGGATAAACGCCACTTTCACGCTTTTGGAATACCTGTCTCTGGCGAGGTTTTTTTTTTCAATCCCGAGACCCCGAGCTGTGGCTGTAGCTCTCTGTCATGGCTTCAAAGGTGCCTTGACCCCAATTTTCCACCTTTCCTCCTCGTAACTGCAAGAGAGAATGTCGCAACTGACGCAACCCTTCCAGTTTCTGCGCGAATACAAGCTGGTGGTGGTAGGAGGTGGAGGGGTGGGCAAGTCGTGCTTGACCATCCAGTTGATCCAGAGCCACTTCGTCGATGAATATGATCCTACTATCGAAGGTGCGAACACACGCTTTTCGAAACCGAGAAACCGAGATGCATGCTGACTAGTCTAGACTCATATCGCAAGCAATGCATGATCGATGATGAAGTCGCCCTCCTCGACGTTTTGGACACGGCTGGTCAGGAAGAATATTCGGCAATGAGGGAGCAATACATGCGGACCGGCGAAGGGTTTTTACTCGTCTACTCAATAACCTCGCGACAATCGTTTGAAGAAATCATGACTTTCCAGCAACAGATTCTCCGAGTCAAGGACAAAGATTATTTCCCCATCATTCTCGTGGGCAACAAATGTGATCTCGAGTCGGAAAGAGTTGTTTCGCAAGAGGAGGGCGCGCAGTTGGCGAGACAGTTTGGCTGCAAATTCATCGAGACATCTGCTAAATCCCGGATAAACGTTGACAATGCCTTCTACGACCTTGTTCGAGAAATTCGAAGATATAACCGAGAGATGTCAGGATATCCCGGCGGTGCGCCAGGGCTCGGGTCCCTCGGGCCAGGTCAAAAGATGGAGATGGATAATCAAGCAGAAAGCGCAGGTTGCTGCAGTCGGTGTGTGGTCATGTAAAGAGACGGGGTCTTTAAAAAAGAAAAGGAGGACGCCGACGGCGCGCTACGAAGTGAAGAAACCGACATCACACGTCTCGCAAGCAAAGTGTTGCTAGAGCTCTTTGGCCGCATGGAGTTAAGAGTGCATATGTCTCTCGTGGAATGGAACTGGACTGACTGGTTTGGCTTGCATTTTTTTTTCTCTTGGGGTGCTCCAAAAAAAAAGTCGTTGAGAATCAAGATTTCTTAAGGGCTTGCGCCGCAAAATTGCAAGATTATCTTCATTTACATATTATTGGGAGGGGAAAAGGAGGACTTCGGCAGTCATGGAGGACGAGTCTGCCACGGCGTTTGATTCTTATGGGATGCAAGTCATACACCAGATACAGACAACGGGACCCCCCACAGACACAGAGACTGAGAGAGAGGGAGGCAGCTTAGTTAGAGGCGGCCATTTGAGTATCGCCTTTCTCCCAGAATGAGCTGTTCAATATTCAATCGCAAGTATCGTACAGATGCCGCATTAGTCAAGAAGTGATGTTGTTTACTTGAGGCAACTGCTGCCTCGCCTTGGCCGTGGACATTTGTCCTCCGGGCTCGCCTTCTCTTGGTTTTCTTCACCGGCATACTCTCACTTCAACTCTCAATATCACCCGTGAATGTCTAAGAACTGGCGCTGCTACACTGCTATTGCGGGAGGCAGTGGCCATTTTCCACCTTTGGCAAGAGCCTGGACGACTGATCAAACTACAGCTCGGCCTTTTCCTTGTTCCCTGGTCACCACTCTCATCTGAAGCTCCACTTCCTGGCGATCAAAGCACCAACTATCTGTGAAAATGGCATCAAGGGCTGAAAGCCATAATGATGAGCAGCCTGAGGAAGCCTCCAAACCTGCTGCTCCCGCTACCGAGCGAAACGCTTTCTCGGAACTCATGTCTCGTAAACATAAGCAATCAAAGCCACGATTATCCAAGCACATTGGCAAACTCAGCAACCCAGGCGACCCACGAAATGGCCTCCTCGCGTACATCCTGGAGCCGGCCAAGTTCCCCTCGGACATTGTCATTCTCTACAATGACAAGGCCGTGTTGGTTCGCGATGCGTTCCCCAAAGCTACGGTTCATCTACTTCTTCTCCCACGAGACCCCCTCAAACGAGACCTCAAACCCCGTGATGCTTTAGACGACCAAGAGTTTTTGGACATGGTGCGGAAAGAAGCAACTGAAGCTGTCAAATTGGCAGCATCCGAGTTGTCCAGGCTGATCGCACCCTATTCGGACTCATGCAAAGCTCGCATTGCTGCAATGGAATGTGAGGATCCTCCAGACGAACTGCCGCCTGGACGCGACTTCTCCAAGGAGTTTAAAGTGGGAATTCATGCACATCCATCGATGAACCAACTCCATATCCACATCATCAGCCGGGACATGCACTCGGATCGACTGAAGCACCGGAAGCACTACAACAGCTTCAACACGGACTTCTTCATCCCGCTCGAGGACTTTCCGCTCGCGCAGGATGATGTCAGGCGCCAGACAAGCTATCAGAATGCGAACTTATCAAAGGAGTACAAATGCTGGCGCTGTGGAAAGATGTTCGGGAACAAATTTACACAGCTCAAAGCCCACCTCGAGGAAGAATTCAAAGCCTGGAGAAAAGAATGATTGTTTCAACCTGACTGCCTCGTCGGGCAAGCATTTGTGTGAGCGCCTGCCGACCGCACGGGCGCTACGATACCTCAATCAGTCTCTATATGACGGCTTCATCTTCTCCCACCGTTAGAAGATCTGCCGCTGCCCCGATCGTGGCTATAACTTCTCAGGCAAATCCGCTCTCGCCGCTTGGGTTCACCGTCATCCACATCAACAAATATTCTTCCTGGGTGAATAGCTTCATACTCATATCGCAGTCCCGGACTTTGGTTGCGGCGCCGTACTGTAACGCTGGCTTCACCCTCTCGAGACCTGCTACTCTCCGGGCTTACCTTTGTGACTTCTCTCTCTTTAACCTCTCGGAAATACCCACTGGCGGCACTTGCGCGTCGAGTTGGAGGTCTGGCACTCCCTGTTCTCAATCTCACATTACGCCTTCCGACGCCTCCAATGCCCATCCCTGCCGCCTCCACCGCCACCACTGCTAGAGCTGTCACCCGCGTTTCTACCACGGCTCCCTCGCCCTCTTACACCCGAGCATCAAACACCTTCTGAACGCAGGATGCAACTTCTTTTGTCCTCAGCTTTGCGTACAGCAATGACAGCCCAGTTGTCCTCATTGGCTGAGCCAACCTGTTGAACTGGGACACCGCTGAGCGCGTCAACCTCAGGAGAGCGGGAGTATATTTCCGACGCTTTGTTTCCTGACCGCAGGCGTTTTAAACAAAACACTAACGCAATACTACAAAACAAAAGCTTCCGCAAGAGCCGCCAAAAAAAAAAAGGCCCAAAATGAATGATAGTCACGTTCTTGTCGACTCTGCCAGGCTATTACAAGAGTCCACCCCTTCGAATCCGGAAAAGAGATCCAGCCTTTAACTTCCAAATCTGCCCCACGGGCCGTTGCACACGCCGACTTCGACGTATGGCACGCATATGCAGCTCATTCGTCTGCACGTCAACAGCAAAAAATGATCTTCCTCGCAGGCATTGGAATGGAGGGTCATCATTGCAAGGGCGAGGACATGAGAAATATGGAGTGAAAAGTGCACGTATTCTAGCTTCGTCCACGGTGATTCGTGGGGCCAGCTTGCGCATGACGGCATTCCGCCGCTGATCGTCTTGATGTCATATTGGCATGGCGATTGAAGAATTAAAGCCGGCCAAATCCTCGTGTCTGCAACGTTTCGAACAGATTTCCAGTTGCTTGGCCAAAAACCCATCTATCAGTCGAGCAAAAAGCCATGTCCAAAAAACCACAGGCCCCTCCGACGGCGTATCCGGCAAGCTCGCTGAAGGAACAAAACCAAGAAGGGGGCAAAGGACTGGATTTGAAACTTGCCCCAAGCGCCAACTGGACGCAACTCGAATTCTGGGACGACGAAGGGAAGGCACCTTACCTGAAAGATTATGAAGGGCGAGGTTTGCTCAAGGACAAAGCCGTGATTGTGACGGGTGGGGATTCTGGCATCGGACGAGCTGTCGCCGTCCTCATGGCATGCGAAGGTGCTGACATAACATTCGTCTATCTCCCAGAGGAAGAGGAAGATGCCCGTTGGACAAAGACCCAGATCGAGAAGGCAGGCCGACAAGCCCAGCCACTCGCCATGGATATCACGTCGGAAGAGAACTGCAAGAAGATCGTGGAAGCGCACATGAAGAAATTCGGCAAGCTCTCTGTCCTGGTCAACAATTCTGCTATGCAGGAGATCTGCAATGATATTCAAGACATCAATCTTGGAGTCGTGGAGAAGACTTTTCGCACTAATATCCTGAGCATGTTCGCCATGGTCAAATATGCGTCGCCTCATATGAAGCGTGGATCGAGCATAGTAAATTCGAGCTCGGTGGCTGCATACATGGGCAATCCTCAGCTTCTGGACTATAGTTCAACCAAGGGGGCAATCACCACGTTCACAAGGAGCCTGGCGCAGCAGTTGGCGCCAAGGGGCATCAGGGTTAATGCTGTTGCACCCGGTATTATGTATGTCCATCAATCCCCTCTCGATACCATCAGCTTTTTCACTCGCAACTTGACCAATTGCTGACCTTTTCTTTTTAATGACAGCTGGACTCCGCTTCAACCTGCTACAAAGGGAAACCCGCCTGAAGCCATGAGTGCACTGGGGGTCAAGGAGGCACCACTCCAGCGACCCGGTATGCCTGTTGAAATGGCCACAGCATATGTATTTCTGGCATCACCTTTGGGATCTTACTTCACGGGTGAAACGGTTCATGGGACGGGTGGACTGGAGATGCAGGGTTGAGCCTGGTATGCCCGAGTGTCCCGGGAGTTGTGGCCAACAAATAGATTTCATGTGCATATACAAAAGATATGGCCATTGGCAGGACTTGTTTGTTTCACATTACGACGAGCAGAATATTCGCGTCTTTTAACACGGGTTTTTATGCGCTACAAGATGGACGGGCAAAATCCTGAGGATCGATTCCGCCAGAGACGGGCCTGTCTGTACCAAGCGAGATGCTATCACCGCTCCCAAAGAGGCAGCCACAACGGTTTCGGCTGAAATTCTACCTGTACAAGCTGATCGGCACATTTGCGTATCCAGCCTCATTCAATGCGTTGCCCAGGTCCGTCGCCTATTTCGACTGATTGATCCTTTTCGTGGGACTTCTGTAAGGGGCTTTTGCTGCCACCCACCGGTTCAGCGTCACCGGGTCACAACACCACGTCAAATTTTCTCTTCCTCTTCCTCTTTCTCAGCCTCGTCTGCCTTTTTCTCAAGATAACGCCAGAACTCCCATCTCTACTCAGCAAAACGTCCTCCCGGAACTGCGCCATCACCTAAGCGTATTTGGGATTTCCCTCTTCCAAAGCGTATGCTCATGTTCAGAGATGTCTTGGGCCCGGCACATACGCGTTGGTCGGGCTCAGGCAAGGGCCATGGGCAAACATGAGGCCCCCCGGTGAAGGAGATACTACCAATACATCCCCTATTGCACCGAAAAGCAAAAGAAGACTCGCACCAAGGTATGCGGCCTTTTCACGGCAAGGAAACTTGTGTCAGAGGGAAGCTTTCAAATACTTCCGACCCTTCCAACACCCACAATAATTCCAGAAAGTCCAAGACTTCCCATACTTCCGACACTTCCAGACCTTCTTACACTTTCAAAAGTTAGGCAACAACTGTAGAAGGTTATGTCGTACGACAAAGCCAAGCACGTCTATTCCGCAAAGATACTTGTGCGCTAGGAATTATGTCAATTTTTTTTTGGGGAAAAACAGTTTGGTAAGAAAGACGTCAGGGTTGGTTCGACTATCGCTCTGACCGGTTCTGCTCTGCTTGCACAAGCAACGACCTGCGAGGATTACATCAGAACGACGTGGCCTATCAATGGCCCATTCTTTATTCTCTTACTTCAAGAGACTTGGGAATTAAGGTGGCGGGAACTGCTGGCTCGAAAGGGTCCCCTACCGCGGCAACGTAAGTTGCGTCTTCAACTCTGCGGTCGATCAGGCTTTGGCTCACGCGCACAACACCTAGAATGTGAAGGAAGCCAAAATCTCATGTTACTTATCCGGGTCGGGCACAATCTCAATCAAAGCTACTGGCTCTAGTGTGATAATAGAGGAGCTAGTTCAGATGCTGACCTGGGCCGGAGCAGCACTTAGTTCTCCTCCTGAGGGTGAAGCCGTCGCATATTGTGATCCGAGAGTCTCTTCCATCCCTTTCGCTATGTCTACTGTTTTCTTAGACGTCGCCAAAGAAGCACTGCCTTCGAATATTCAATGCTTGCTGGTTGTCGTTCTTTTCGGGTGTGTCGACGGCAAACAGCTTCCCGATACCTCAGCGACAAGGTGAGCTGGGTCTCGAAATACCTCTGCAGATCCTTGTTGCTCTGTTGGGTGCCGTTCGCGCTGTCGAATACGTGGATGGAGTCGTTATCAAGGGATTTTCCAGCATGATTATACCTACCGAGAAAAAAGGGAACATTGTCCAGTGGCACCTAATCGTCAACGCAGACTGGACGCAACGCCTCTCATACCGTGATGGTGTCGAGCGGGTGCCCAAAGCGGGCTCTGATCCACCAAGTCGATTTCAAACTTGGACCGAAGGACGGCAAATGCCATTTTCAGCAGATTGGCCCCTATCAGATTGTCATGAGCGCGGTAGAGAGGATGCTTGTTGTCCTCTACGACACAGCAGATAAACGGGTATGGCTTGTACCTGCTTCAGAAGTTATCCTCGATATGTGTCAGCACCGTAAACAGCTGGAGCATTTTATGGTCGGCGGTTCACCAGTTGTTTTGCCTCCTGCTGGGACTGCCGGACAATCTGCTATAGATGTACTCTTGGAAAATGCTTTGCTTGATCTCTGAAACACCCATCGAGAAGACATGGCTGGCCGGCTCTAGCACGAGACATCGACGCTTTGAACCTCTTTTTGGTAGCCGCTTCGGAGACATGCTGCGCCCTGAGGAAGATGACCGGTTCAATGTATTGTGCGTTAAGTGGCGTTGCATGCCCAAGGGGAAGCGATACCCTGCCACACTATCAAAATCCTGAAAGACCTCTATGGAGTTGCTGGAAGTCGGCTAGACCGGAAATACAACTCGTCTGCAGTGGCATCGGGCAACTCCATCTTATTCGAGCCTTGCACCTCTCCAGGGGCATACCAATCCGACTGTGAACGTCTGCAACAGATTGTTGGGAAATCAGCGTTCAGTACGGTGATATCTCTAGGACCACTCCTTGACAGATTTGAGGAAGGCTCCGTTACTTTTGGATAACCTGGATCTGCGCGTCGAATACAGGAGGAGTCCATTTATGCTCGATTCCACATAAAGGACCCTTCTTTAGGTATCTGCCTGGCTGGATGCCTGGAACTAGCTCTTTAGTTGTGGAACAATGTATGCGCATTGGCCACTCGGCAGTGACATTGACAAATATTTCACTATCAGAAAAGACCCGCGTGGGTCCCATTTCAAGATACGCCCTGCGGATCACATATAATATATGTACAAGCCAGGTATTTGTACATTGTCATTTGCGTTAGAGGTAAGGACATGCGGAGTACCGAGTAGGCGGTAGTATATTACTGTTCGAAGGGTAGACTTCAGCACCTCCTTCGTTCAAATCATTCGGCGACACCGCAGCTTTGTTGAATTCCTTCTTGAATCATCAGGCCTGAGAAAAATCTATGCGAGGTCATCTCACCAAAACAAGGGAATCATTGTGAACCATTACGGACCTTTTTTTGATTTCTTCTAGAATCACAGATTGCGATACGAGCGACGACTGCGTAAAGATGTCTGAGCCTCCTTCCCCAGGCATCCATGTCGTGACCGATTCTTTCGCTGATATTTCCGCTATCATCGATGGTATAGTCCACGTCCACGCCTCATGCATCTTGGACGACGGCACTTTGGCCACTTTCCTTCCCCCATTATCACACTCCCAACTCTACCAGTGGTGGGACCAGCGTGTGAGCGAGATTGGCCGCGGGGAGAGACAAATCATCGTATCTCTGTCAAATGTCAAGGATCGGACGACAGAGAAGGATGTTTCGGCGCCCTGGAACGACGAAGGACGAACTTGGCCGGTCACCCGCTCGACAAGTTCTTCAATCGATCAGGCGTCCCCGGCCCCTGGTACGGCAAACTCTACGGAAACTGAATTGGAAGTCTCGGGCGTCGTGTCCCTCGCCACGCCATTCTCGCAGACCGGCCCATTCCGCGGCCTCGTGGAGAAACTCTTTGTCTCGCCGCTGCATCGCCGTCGCGGCATTGCGAAGCAGATGATGGCCAAACTCGAGAGTGTGGCGATGGGACTGGGCAGGTGGAGTCTGATGCTCGACACCGTCGTCGGCTTGGAGGCTGAGCGCGTATATCCCAGGCTCGGATATGAGAAGGTGGGCTTCGTGAAGGAGTACGGCTATTCGCCTGTGGACGGGCGGTTGGTGGACGAGGTGTGGTTCTGGAAGGATTTGAGGAAGATGAAGAGGCTGGAGTTGTAGACGTCGTTCACAAGACAGATACTACAGTTACTTCTGAATCACAAGGGATGGGCGAGTGTGAGACAAGTCGGTCGCTGCTCTTTGCGATCTGCTTGTGATGACCAGGCAGGGAATTTCGTGCAAGTCATACATATGCACGAGGTTGGATTCCGCCAGTCCAATGGTACAAGGGTCCCACAACGGGGTACTACAATGCTGGAGGGCACCAAAGGAAGAAGCAAGTCCGCCTCTAAGCTCTTCCCACGAAGTACTGCGCTCGTTCAAGCATGCTGAGGGTAGAATACGGGGTTTTCATCTCAACATGTAGTTCGCCTGGCGTAGTCTTTGAAGGGACATTGGGTTGGGCCATTACTACACCGGCAGATATATGAATCTCAAGAAACCAACAGAGATAGACAAAAATTGAAGCACAGCAAATCTTTATATAGATTGCCTTCTCAGGAGACGGGCAACGAGGCTGTGGTCGAATTAGGCTTAGTGCCACTCCAAGCCCTTTCACCAGCTTCGATTTTCAATGCGTTGCATCTACAATTGTCCGAACAGCTTCAAGCCTTCCTTTTCCTTTCCCTCTCTGTATTTTCTTGATCATAGTATCTCCATCGACCAGGGCTCCAATATGCATCCCGTCCCCTCTATTCGTGCGCTCCACGCCCTCCGCGCCCTCACGCGTCCGACAATCTCTGCTCCCTCCAAGCACACTTCTGCAGTAGTCCTCCTCCGAGTTCCCGCGCCGCCGCGTGCTCCGCAGCATCGAGCATTCTCGACGACCCCCGCCCACGCGGTGACGCTGAACCAGATCCGCACGCGTCTAGGCAACTCGCGCAAGCCCAAAAAGGTCCGCCACGCCGTCTCGCCGGCCCTCAGCGCGGCCAACAGGCCCGCCATGAAGGGCGTGTGTCTCAAGGTCGGCATCACCAAGCCCAAGAAGCCCAACTCTGGCCAGCGCAAGACCGCAAAAGTCAGACTTTCCAGCGGCAGGGTCGTCTCGGCGTATATCCCCGGAGAGGGCCACAATGTGCAACAGCATAGCGTTGTGCTGGTACGAGGTGGGAGGAGTCAGGATTGTCCTGGTGTCAGGTATCATTTGGTCAGGGGGGCATTTGATTTGGTGAGTTTGCTGTTCTGTCTTTCCTCCACGTATTTGGGTCACTACGGGGTCTGTGAATCGTTGGGCGTGTTCTTCGGTATTGTGGAGGAATAGTCGTGCATCTCCCCCAAGGTTGATGAGGGAAGTGTTGGGAAATTGGAGGAGCAAGAATGAAGACCTTGGAATTTGGCCAGTGCTATAATGGATATACAAGATCCACTTACTAACGATGCCATGTTGTGGCTTTGCAGGGAGGTGTACCTACCCGAATGACAAGTCGATCCAAATACGGCACCAAGAAGCCGAAGACGACATGATCGAGGCTTGGGCTTTCTTGGAGGATTTGAACCTGGTCCAGCGCGGCCCGACTCCGGGGCGAGAAAGCGGAGTGATAAGATGGATGGGAAGGGAAGGGAGGCAAGGAGGGATAGAGACCTGTCATTCTCTCCGAATCGGCGATACTCTCGACAGACGGCGGAAAAGTGACGGTTGCGAAGGGCGACCAAAAAGCAGACATGGGATGTCGAATGGGCACTGTATGCAATGATATGTCCTGGGCAAGGGAAGACACATTCATATCCAGTCCACGGCGCCTACACTTACACCTGATTCCCAATACGAGCCTGCCGCATGGGGTCTTGAATCTGGACCCAAATTCGAATTCAGAACCCATCTATGTACGTCCAGTGCATTAAAATCGCCCACTTCGTCCATTCCATTTCAGTCCAAGCAAACCGAGACGTCTCTCTGTGGATTCCTACAGTCAATGCAACGACATTTACTTCGGGAAAAAGAATGGGTTATATAATAGATCTGAATCGTCCAGACGAAGCAAATTTGCACGGCGCACTACACGGCCAACCGTCAACTTTCTGCACGGCGCGAACGTCAATGTCCACTTGAACCGGGATGAGATGAGATGGGATGAGACTACTCGGACTGAGCTGTGTTCCAGCCAGGGAGATAGATGGGTGTGAGCTGGCAAGGCTAAGGCTCGGGCGGAGGCTTGTGCGAGGCTGGGGCTGGGGCTGGGGCTGGGGGCTGGGCTGAAGGGTAAGGATAAGGACAGGGAGATTGGATAAAAGGACAAGACAAGGAATAAGGCAAAGGCAAAAAGTAGAGCTCTACATCGTATCGTGTCACGTGCGACAATGAAGGATCTATCGTGCGTCCTCCCTCACTGTCATATATTACTACCCACTCGCCGCACGGCCTCCGGAGGATGGAGGAAAAAGCTATCGACTACTGGATTGAGTACGTTCCGTACGGGCGACTAAGAAGGTACCTATGTAGGTATGTAGGTATGTATAGCTACATATACGGGGTATAGATGCAAACATGTACCATCCCCAAGATCTATTCGCATCAGACGTAATCATATAAGCACCGCAATAGCTACAGTAGATACGTATCGCTACGATAGAGGTCAAGCGAACGACAAAAAAGGGATACGCTGTGTCCTCCGTGCTCTGTACTTCGTCTTTCGTAGTTAGATTCGCAGTCCAGGCAGATGGACAACGAACAAGAAAGCTCGACAGAGGCGTCATAGGCAGTTAATCACTCTAAGTTAACACGTGGTGGTTCTCCAAGCGTTACAATCTTGATTCCATTCATTGATTTGTCGTTTGTTAGGATGTACTCGGTAGGTATGGAAGTCGTTTTCCTTTCCTTTCCTTTCCTAGGTATGCCGACCAGGTTTTCCTGATTCCTGATTCCTATTCCTTATAGGAGCATGTGGTGTGTACAGTTAGTCTGCCGAGGGCTTCCTTGCCCCATGAATAATGATGCCATGGCATCCATGCCGTTCCGAGTCTCTCCTTTCCAGTTCACAATTATCTCGACCACCCGCGGGCCAGCATCGTAATACAGTGCAAGACGGGACGAGACAAGACAGGACAAGAGCATAAAACAAGGCAGGTTTCTCTCTCGCCATTTCCACGAAAGTGTTTTTTTTTTTGGCCTTCCCATGTGTACTGGGTGCTCTTCCCAATGCCCAATGCCGCAATCCCCAATCCCCGGTCCCACCGGTTGACCAAACGCCTCTCATGCAAAAAAAGAGGCCTTTGCAAGCAATTCTTCTAGACCATTCTCCGTGTTTGTCAGTTCGCGCTGATGGGCAAAGGGTTGGTTGCTCGACCACACTCTCTCGACGGGTATCTCGTATTGCGGAAGACGGACATCGAAGATCTGTACAGTTCAGGTGAAATCCTCTTCTCCAACCGTTGAAAGGACAATTCCAATAGGTACGAGACTGGAGAACTGGCTGGTTGCGTCGTGTTGCGCCTCGGCATATTCAAGAGCAGAAAAATGGCCGGACACGAAGGAGCACTCCTATGCTGCAATCACCAGCGTTCCAGCGATCTGACCTCCTCAAACAACTGTTCACCGTGAGTTCGCCGACTGTTCAGGCTTTTTGTACCAATTTTCATCCTCGCCGTGGTCGAGCCCGCTTTCGTGCCACTCCGCAAGGCGTTCCGCCCACGAAAGCAACTTGCGTCTCGTCCAGGGAATTCTCATCAAAATAATCGTCAAGACCAATCCAGCGCTGAACGTTATGCATGCATATTTCCAAATCTCCCATACCAGAGAAACGCCCGAGTCTGATCCGTTTTGGGTGTCGCTGTTACCGTTGCCATTTCCATTATCGTTGCCCGGGCTTCCGACCTTACCGGCGGTTAGTCATACCTGAGCCTCCCACCCCTCGGGCTTCTTAAGCTTGTTGAGGTCGAAAAATCGAGATGTACAGCTGTATCCCTTCCAGTCGAAGTTGTCGGCAGGGTTACAGTGGCAGCGGAGTTTCGAGCGGAGATCATCTCCCGTGGGACAATGCGTGAAGGGGACATGATAGTAGGCGATATCATTGAAAAAGTGGATCTCGTCCTTTCTGAGAAGTAGTCCAGCAGCGATGGAATGGACGGGAGCGTCGCCCCAACGTTCGTAGAAGAAACCGCCGTCCTTGTCGAGGGATTCAAAGAAGTCGATGTACGGTTTTGATCGAAGCCAGTCGAGGTTGCCGATTTCAAAGTTGGACCACTAATCAGAGGTCAGAAACAAGCGAGACAAAATGAATTCTTGCAAAACTTACGAAGTGGCATTTGTTGTATGTGTCCCCTCCATCGTCACTCAAAAACCCCATCGAGTTATCGGGAGAGATGTGCTCAGGGTGCGCCTTGATAAACTTCTTTGTGCTATCCCACAGGGTCGGAATGGTCTCGACGTATTCATACAGACTCAGGACGAAGCTGTACTTTTTCTTGTGCTCCTTCATGTAGCGGAACGGATCATAATGAATGTCGCAGAACAGCTCGATGCTGGGCTCGACTCGCCAGTAGTACTCAAATTGGTGGAGCAGAGGATGACGGAAGAAGAAACCCGATTCGAACCGGCACATATGTCGATAGCTGACCGAGTCGCCATAGATGATCTTCCTCCGGCGCATGTCTTCACGGACAGCCTCAGCCTTCTTCTGGTCGATCCATGGAGGGAATGACCAGTGCTCGACGGGGATCTCGCCATAGTGAGTCTTGCCTGAGACGAGGGAAGTCGTGACCTTTTTGAAGGTCTCGTCGAAGGGTTTGTCGTTCAAAAAGACCCAGTCATAGTTGTAGTTCCTATTGAAGCGATCTTCGACTTGTCTGATTGAGCGGGCAATCTCCCAGATATCGCTGTTTCTCGCCAGAGTCACAAAGGTCGCATTGACCCGTTCGCCGGGGGCGGGAGGGGAGAGCTCCGAGGGGATGGTCGGGATCACATTTGGAGTTGTTGTTTCCACGGATTGTGAAGGCTCTGCGGCGGGGGAAGATTGCGGGAGATGAATGGAGTCGTCCATTTCGTTGGCACTGGAACTCGGCTTGGACTCTGCGGGTCGCTCCCACGAGAAGGCGGTGCCCGAGGTCAGCGGTTGGGCATAGGAGGGTAATGACGAGGTGGAAATAAAGTAGAGCATGGTAATCCCCTGTTATGTCAAGTCAATATACAATGTCTCAGGCCTGGGCTCACCCGTTGCCGTGGAACTCACAAAAATAGCAAACAATACATAGCGCAGATACCTCCCCGTGCCGGTCGTCATTTTGATGAGAGGTGACCGATGGTATTAGTCGGAGGTCAACAAAGGAGCTGACTGAAGTCGTTCTGGCAATAAAGACTGAAGAGAGGAGCAATACTCGAGGAGGGAAGATCGGGCGGCCAGCAACGGTGCGATCAAGACATGAGGCTTGCTGGGCGAAGAGATATCAAGGTGCCCAACGCTGACGAGGAAAGGCGAAGTGGAAAAGGTTTGGGAAAACAAAGAAATCTCGTGGTGCAGGGCTTGGAGGTGTTTAAAGGAGTGAAGCAGGCACAGCAGGTCGAAGAAACATTTCAAGTTGGCAATAGGGAGAAGCGCAGGACGACGCGCAAGCCCCGAGACAACGTGTTGCAGGAAACTTTTCTGCGTTGATAGAAGGGGACGCCTCAATTCCACTTTAGCAGCACTCAGCGGCATGGGGCTGAATGGGTGGGCTGTGCGTGGCTGCTTTTTTGGTAAGTGATGACGCCCAAGGAAACCCCCCCGCCCCCCCTGGACACTGGAATCTGGATGCGTGTTTCGGGTAACGGGATGGCTTGCGTGCGCGGGCTACGAGGTATTAGGCTAGGGGTGGGCACTTGGCAACTTAGGCGGGAAGGGCCCCTAGGTGCCCCGAAGCTTGCAACTACCAGTACAAGTACTTGTTACAAGTACCTCGTAGGGGTCTCGGGTTGGAAATGTCACCAATCGCCATGCTTCGCCCGCTTCGAGACAAGTCTGCGTCACCGACCCCGATTGCAGTTAGCGGCCCAGCTGCCCATCAATCATCACCTGCCTGTTTATGGAACATCCCACAATCCATCTCTTGCCGTTCACAACACCCATCGTTCGATCATTCACCTGCATCTAAGTGAGAAACTCTCTGACATTTCCCCCGCGGCCATGTCATAGTATCCTTGCTATTGTCATTTCTTTCCTTTCCTGGATCATGCGAACCCGCTTTGCCATTACTCCCGGTCGAGAAAAGAGGTGGATTGCAGCGGGGTGAAAACAACATAACCACTCTCCGAAATCTGTCAGTTCAAACTCACTTTGGCGATTCTGCCATGTCTTTCTTTGGTTTCGACACTTCCCTGCCCAGGGACAAGCCTGAAGGCGCAGGCAAGGGCATTTTCGAGCACACAAACCCTTTCACCGAAGTCGCAAAAGCCCGAAAATTGCAGGCCTTTCAAGACAATCAGGAGGAGATGTAGGTGGACCGCCGTTGCAAACAAGATTGAAGTTGCTAATTTCTTCATCCAGTCTCGACTTCGAAGATACCTACGACGGACTGGGCGATCAACTCGAGGAGGCCGGCGACGACTTCAACGATGACACCTTTGGCGGTGGCGCTGAGGGCGGAGCTGGCCAAGGATCTGTGGGAAAGGATTACGACTTTTTTGGAAAAACAGCACAAGTCTCAAACGTGATCAACGAAGAGCATATGCGCTACAACTTGCAACACCCTCACCAACCAGCTGCGCCCGCTCCAGCTGCGAAGGCCAAAAAGACGGGCTATGAGAAATATCAAGATCCGGGTTATATTCCAGATATTCAGGCAAAATCGGGGGCATGGGGCTCAAAATCAAGCACAGTCGCTGCTCCGTCTGGCGATAGCCGTATCAGTACGGCTCGGAGCACCGCTCCAGTCTGGTCCTCTGCTCCCGAACCCTCGCCCCCGCCCCCTCCCGCACAGATATCACAACCTCCAATGATGACTCTTGAACAGGTTGAGGCGGCCCTGCTTGCTGAATCTCAAGCGAGGCAATCACAGCTTCCATTCCCTCAGCCTCAGCCATACCCATTTCCCGCTCAGCAGATGCAACCGCAATCTCCTCAGCAATATCAACCCAGGGGACTTCCACCCGGCTTGCCAACCCAGCCTCAACCACAACCCCCTCTGGATGGCTCTAGGAGCCACAATCGCATGCCCTCGCAGCCACGTGCGCCTCAGCAGCCTCTACAGATTCTTCAAAATCCAAACAGGGCTCGCCATTCGCCCCAACCAAGCCTCGACAGGTCTCAACCCATCCCTTCGATGGGACCTCAAGGTCCTGGTGCGCTGCCGATCATAACTCATCCCCAACAGCTAATGGATCTGTCTGAAGAACAGCGACGGGCGTATCTTGAAGAAGACGCCAAAAGAGCAAAGAGGAATCACAAGATCTTCCTTCTTTCCAAGGGAAACGGCTTGATGACCCCACAAGACAAAAATTTCATCACTCGAATTCAACTTCAGCAATTAGTGGCGGCCACAGGAAGCTCGACGGATACAAATCCTGAAGCTGCTCTCAATGAAGATTTCTATTATCAGGTCTACAGCCAAATCCGCGGCGCCCCAAGACAACACCCCACCCAACCACTAGGCCACTTTGCGCAGACTTATCTGTTCCAGACTGGTTCTCGCATGGGCGGCAGGCGGCAACAGATCAACGGAGACAACCACATGCAGAGAATGCAGCAACAAGTCCAGCGTGCTGTTGAAGCAGCCAAGCTCAAACCGAAGAACAAGCAATTGATTATCGAAGGGAGCTTGGGCAAAATATCATTTAGCAATGCGAAGACACCGAAGCCTTTGCTCAACATCAAGAGACAAGAGGGCACTGACTCCCGGCCCACAAGTGTCAAAAAGGGAAGTGGCGTAAGTACCAGTGATCGCAAAACGATTTTGAAGAACATCGAGGCTGTGTATACGACCTTGATGCGCATGGAAGATCACGAACGACAAATGCCGCCTCCGCCCACCGAGGGCGATGCAGACTCGATTCAGGCACATCTTGAATGGCGACAAAGGCAAATGGAGCTCGGCAACACCCTATGGCAGGATTTAAAGGTCTTGGATCCTATAGTTCCAGGATCGACCATTCCCCATCCCTTTATCGCTCTCCTGTCATTTGCCAAAGGCAAGAAAGCCATTCCTCGTGTCTTCCACCAAATTGACCAGGATAAAAGACTCACTATCCTGACGATGATTGTGGTGCACCTTGATCAGCTTGATGTGGTCAAGGACGCTCGCCCGGCGCCTGGTGAATCACAACCTACGCCAATTGTGCGAGAAGAAATCGAGCTATTCTCGCAAGCCGTCATGCCGTGCCTACTATCTCATGTAAGCGAGGCACCTGTTAATATCATCACCGGATTGCTAGGGCTTCTCATCGATCACACTAGCATCTCGGTTGTTGCGCACACCAAGATTGGGCTTGGTATGCTGACGATGCTATTGACCCGCGCGGAATTGGTGAAGGAGGCCGGGTCCGTCACTGATCAGGATTGGCAGCAGTGGACCATGTTATACGGTCGCCTTTTTGACATGCTGGAACCTCTTTTTGGCTCACTATTCCCTGGTCCAGTCAACACGGGCGATGACATGTACGTTTGGCAATTCTTGGCCGCCATCGGCATATGCGCCAGCCCCGACCAACAACAGAGGCTGGTTATCGGTGTCAAAGACAGAGTCATGGAGACAGTCCTTCAGAGCAAAACGTTGCCTCCCGAAATGTCGAGTGCTCGACTGGGGAATGTCAACCTGTTTATGAGAGCCATCGGTCTTGACGTGGAGATGCTAGGATGAAAACAACATGGCTAGATGATGTTATTTGAAGCAGAAAAACGATCTATGTTCGTCTTACACGGGAATCCGCCCACAGGCAGGATCGTTCAGGAAGGGTGGTATTAATCAGACCAAAAGTTACTGCCGTCGAAGCTGAAGACGCTTTGGAATTGGAGTACCAAATGTCCTGTATGGACGTGACTTTTGGACGTCAACCTGCCACTGCCTGCCCTCCCTGTCCTGCTCATCCATTTGAATCAGTGCTGCAAGTCGCTCCTTTCTGTGCCCCTCTCTTCCACTGCGAAGCGAGTCATGAAGTGAGTCGTTTCCCCCTCTTTTCACTCTTCTTTATCCAAATTTCAGTGTCGCTGGTGTCTTGCCATTTGTTCGGTTGCAAAGGCGAGCTGCATCCTGAGCCTCTGACATTCTATTTCCAGTTGGTTTTGCTGTGTCTCAACGTCCTGCATGTTGTTTCGAAAGGTTGTATTCTCTATCATCGACTCTTCAAATATGGAGATGAGACTCGCGGCGCTCGTCGGTGGGTTGCCGAACCTTCTCAATCTTGTAACCCCTCTCCAGGATCATCAAAACTCGTTATTCTATCGTTCTGCTGCTGAACGAGTTGTTGCTATATGTGGAAAGTCGTGGTCGCTGCCACGTCCTGCTATTCTGTCTGCGACTTGATTGACTCTGCCAGCTACGTCGGCCATTTCTGTTCTCCGTGACAGGTTGTTCCGCAAGTGTGGGATCTCTCGTCCAAGGGTCTCGGCTCTGGTGTCTCCAGCGGCTTCTTCGTCTCCAATGTCTCGAACTTTGGAAAGCGGGTTCACCAAACAAATGTTCAGGGAGCCCGGCAACACTGTGAAGAGGACGATGGTGATTTATGAATCCCTCAACGACATCCAGAGCCTTCCCGACTTTCTCCCCCTCGACGTTCGTTCCACCCTTCTGTACAACGGTTTTCATGTTCCCCCAAACCTCAGGGGGCCACGGTTCATTAAAGGAGGATTTTGAATCTCAGAAGTTCAAGCAGAAAGGCTGATATTCATTCGTCCCTGAAGGCATGCTTTTGCTCCGTGCCGAAACGCGCCTAGCACCGACGTGCGCGGCTTCTAGAAAAAACCCCACCCTCACAGTGCAGGACGCCACCGACTGAGACAAGTATTATTAGAGTCACTCAACTTCTATGGTCGTGGCTAGGCGCTCGTCTGGGACTTATGCAGAGTACAAACCGGGCGCTCGCTTACTGTGGGAGGAGAAAGAATGCCAAAGCAAAACGATCCTCCGACGAGGCGGAGGCTTTGCGGGAGGCCAAAGGCTGGTGTCACAACGAGGCACACTGTGCCTATCCAAGGGGTGGGCGCCTCTCAGCCCTTCCTGCGAATCTTGAGCGGGTTTGGTGCCTCTCTGACAGTTTCCCTCAATGTCATGGTGAGCAAGCCAATGACAAGAGAAAAGGGGATGGCCCGCTGGG